CAAAGAGACTCTATGAGGAAATCTCACAGATAGTATCATTAGAGTAATCTCTATATATTTGGGTATGTCTTTCCTCAGACCAGAAGTTTTCACTTAGACTGTGTTCTAGAAGGCATGCCTTGATTGTATATCTCGTCTGCCTGAAACATGGAGACTCATAGGTATGCTCTTGGGCTTGTCCTGATAGGGCACAGGGCTAGGGTAATAAGCTGAAGGAATTCGTCAAATCTCTGTGAGAGATTAGGTTATCCTTAAACCGGAGAAATCAGGATGACATTTACAGTGACTCGGAAATCTATGCATAGTAAAAGAGATCATAAGATGATCTGCCTTTAGAGTCAGTAAATAAATTGAAGACTCCCTATTTCATAAAAAGCTAACCCTAAACCGCAAGGGTTGATGCGTTTCCTTACCCTAGGTTTTATGGGAAGGTAACCGAGACGAAGGGACAAACATACGGCAACCAAATATGTTTAATAGGATGATCAAATCATTAATCTAACTAGTTCTGGGGCAACAAAGCATTGTTAGTGCTCTGTGTTGTCATTAGATGGGTTGTGGGCTTATTGGGCCCAAGCCCATTTATGTCAGTGGCTAAGTTGGACCTAATGGGTCACACACAAACACCTAATTGTCTAGATGCTCTAGCATTAAAGGTATTGGGCCTAATAATAGTTATTAGCCCAAGAAGTTGTTTGGAACTCCACCTAAAGGGGTGGAGGGCGCATGGATCATTGTAATGGGCTTGGATAGTCCAAGACATTACTAATTAATTTAATTAGTTAAATTAATTATCAAACATTTAAATTTTGAATTTTGGAATTCGAAATTTGAATTTTGAAATTTTAAATTTTGAATTTGAATTTCGAAATTCGAATTTTGAATTTGAAATTTGAATTTTGAATTTTGAATTTGAATTTTGAATTTTGAATTTTGAAATTTGAAATTTGAACTTTGAATTTGAATTTTGAATTTGAATGTTTGAACATTTGTATTTGAATGTTTGAATGTTTGAATTCCAATATTTGAATTCGAATTTGAATTGCCTATGAAAGGTTGTTTCATAACAAAAGGATAAGATGAGATCTTGTTGGAACAAATCACTAGTATCATGAGAGAATCTTTTGGACATAATCCAAGGCTATATATGGCGCTGATTTGGGCTGTTGGTGAGCAAGATTTGCTCATCAAAATCAGCTCCAGAAGATTCAGTCAGTTGGGAGAAAATCTGAGTGAGTTGATTCAAATTTGAATGCAACTACTCAGATGTATCTGGTCACCTTTTTGGGCTATATGGGGCGCACCATATAGCTGATCTTATGAAGATTTCTGATCAGAATTTTGAATAGGTTTTGAACCAATTCTCAAGAGAATAATCCAGGAGCCTGTTAGCAATTTTTGAAATTAAACAGCTCCACCTCTCTCTCTCCAATCTGGCGCCTAATGATCAGATTTTTGGGAGAAAAATCTGATTGGTATTTTATTTTAAATACTCTCCTCTTATGCGCCTAAGTGTTCAGTTGTTCCTCCAAGGGTTTTTTTTCTGAAAAGCCTAGCCTATTCTCTCTTCTCTCCTGTGCCACTTGTGAAGCTTTCACATTGAGAGCTTCACTCTTTCAAACACTTTCACCTAGCCTCCATCTTCATACATAGAGCGCCTAGCAAGCCTCTTTGTGGTGATCATCTGGTGGCTTCACAAGAAGGAGTTCTTGCACCTAGACGAGTGGGTGGTGTGGATCAACGTTAGAGGGTCTGAACCCTTCAGACCTGCCTTGATCATCTGGTGATTTCACGAACAAGGTAACATCATGCTTTCCTAAAGCATGATCTTGATGTGCATGTATATTCCGCAAAGAAAAAATTTTGTTTTTCCCTCTTGCATGCATCGGCCTTCAAGGCCATTTCGAACTTTCACCACTATGCAGGTCATTACCATTCCCATGGAAGGTTCTAATCACAATTATCTACTGGTTAGAGAGCATTAATACACATAGTATACCATACATATAGATATCATATTCAACCAATGCATGAGCACTCTATTACAACTATTATCATAAATCTTATCATCCAACCATTCCTCCTAATGGAGCATGGTGGAACACACAAGTGGATTAACCCCATGACCAGAAGTTTACCTCTAGTAGAATTCTGTTCCAAGCTCTTCTTTAGCTCAAATGAACATAATCACCAACTTTCACACAAGAGCAACCTATGACAAATGTGTAAAGGTGATCAACAATTCATACAACATATGAAACATCAAGCTATTGGCTAGAAATTTCTTATATTCTCATAAAACACAACTTACCCTCTTTGGTAAAATTTCAAGAATCTTGGTCTTGAACAAAAGTTGATTCCAATGGGTGTCCCTATACCATAATGTCATTAGAATCAACTTTATAACGTGAAACAACACCAAACAACCATCATTATCCATCCAAAATCACTATTTATGCTGTTACTATTCATCCAAAACCTAGCATTCTCATTTCTCCATAAAAATCTGAAAAGAGTTGGATTTACTTAGCACCAATCACCTAAGAATGGAAGGAGGAAGGTTCTTCAATCTTCCATGAGCTCTAAACCACTCAAAACCCCAGAAACTTTCGTAACTTTGAGGGGAAGAGATCTCTCTTTACAATTCTTCCTACACAAAAATAAGGGTTGATCTTGGTTCCTCTCAAAATTCTAAGCAAGTTTGACTTTGGAATCACTCAATTTTGTCAAGTGCTATGTAGCACCGATACGACACGCGACACGTGACACGACACGACACTCCAACACGTCAATCCTAAAAAATTATGAATTTCGATACGTTGGGACACGTTTTAATATTAAATAATATTTTTAATTTATATAATGTATATTTCATTTAAGATTTAATAATTTAACAAAAAAATGAAACTAAATTAATAATACCCATCAACATATTATAAAGATGGAAGCTTTAATAAAAAATAAGAACTGAGATGAGAGAGAGATATAATATCAGATAGAGAGATCAAATCATATTAGAGAAAGATCAGAGAGAATGAGATACAACAAGAGCATAATAGGAATTCACAACAATGAATGATTCTGAGATGATATCTTATCTACTTAAGGAGAAAAAAGACAAAAAAAATAAAATTGATATGATCAGGTGGAAGCTTTATTAATATATTTTTATTTTTTAAAAAAATAATTTTTTTAAAAAAAAGTTTAAAAAATAAAATAAAAAAAATTACGAAAATGCCATTTGACCATGTCGGACACGGTCAAATTCGCGTGTCGGAATGGTCAACGTGTCGGAAAAAGTTGACCGCGTGTCCGACACCGTATCGGAGCGTGTCGGACACGACTCTTCCTGTTTTTACAAGTGTCCGTGCTTCCTTGGTCAAGTGTAGCTCAAGATATGGTGATTTCAAGTTTTTCTCTCTTTCTCCCACGGCTTCCACGAAAATGAGGAAAAAGAGCATTGTTGGTGTCTTATATGTTTAGTGACCTAATGACCATACTTTATTCACTTAAGCTTAGTTGACTAAAGTCAACAACTCATTAAATGACTATTTACTCATTTAGCCCTTTGTCATAAATCTTATTTTAATTCATGATCTAATCATCAAATCATAATTTTAACATTCACAAAGTGAGTTAATAATTACTCCCAACATTATTTGTAGGTTTGCGGTAACTTTCGCAAAACTGTATTTTTACCCAAAAACCTCACTATTTATACTTTTCTCCCAAAAGTGACTTTATGACATTCTCAACCTAAGAATATCGTTCCTCCTTCGGAAACAACCCTCTGAACGCTGTCCCTTACTTTGGGAACAACTTACCGAACGTCGTTCCCACTCCAGGAACAACCTGCTGAATGTCGTTCCCATTCCGGAACAACTTGTTGAATAATTAGATTTCTTATTTAATTAATCTCTCTTAATTATGAAAAATTCCTAATTATTCAATTTAATGGTGCGGGAGGCTCAATCTGTATTTTTTAATAAATAATATTTTAATATTTTTAATATAATAATATTTTGAGTTGTTGTGTGATTTCAATTATTGTATTATTTTAATTTTCCATCAACTTAAATATACAAAATAAATAAAATAATCACAACTTATATTTTACATAGTGCAATATGCCTTTTTAAAGGCTTTATGGGCCAAGCTTTGTATTTTTTAAATACAAACCAGACCAATATTATAATTTGGCTTATAACAGACTAATAAATTAAGCCAGACTTAACATATTTTATATAAATCTAACCCCTTTAGACTAAACTCTAACTTGACCGGGAATGGGGTGGAAATATTTGTTTGTATCTGAATAAATTTTTGTTTTTTAACTGGTCTAACTTTATTTTTGTGTTCATATTCTAACATTGTCACCTCACTATGGAATGGAGTGATATGCACCTAACAATTGTGCGTCAAGTATTTTTCTTAAATTAAAAGAAAACATTATTAAAGTATGAGAAATATTTTTCTTATGTTGTTGGAGATAGTTATCTTATGTTAATGAAGTGAAATTATAAGAGTGACCCACAAATAATTGGAGAGAAAAAAAATAGAAGTGGGCTCCACTTTTGTTATGTATGTGTAGGAATTTGGTTTATCTTATGTTGAATGAAATAAATATAACCCTTAAAAGTATATTGCATGAAACTGGTGAACTGGTACTTGACAGTTCATTAGATTTAAGTGCATGTTCAAGTTTTTTTTAGTACATAAAAATAAAATAAAATTGAACATGCACTTAAAGTAGATGATGCCTTTTAATGTTAATGCACACCGATGTCTCTTGATTGCAATGAGAATTCCTTCTCCTTGAATCTTCATTCTCCTTGGATGCTTGCTAGGCAATGGTAAAGTGAAAGCTTCAAGTTTTTAGTATCATAGATTATAGATATGGTACAACTACATAGGAACGGATAGATGTATCATAGATATGGTACAAATGCTAACTTATATTTAGAAGCATAACACAACACATCAAATGTCATGGTTACGGATAGTGTTAAGATCCATCTGAGTCTCCAAATAAGCTATCAAACTTGCACAGTGAATGGTCCAGAGAGGTCTCACCAAAACAGAAAGAGCTCTGCTTTCCACCAAAGAATTAATAACTTCACATTCACCGACAGCGTTACAAACCAAATAACCTTCACATGGGTGCCAAAACAATACGAAGTCTTCCATTTTCCTCTCATCAAGTGGCATTACAAGTAACGACTGGGAACCACGTACTCCTCCTCAGGATGACACTTGAGATATATCTTTGCATGATCTGTTGTATTTCATGTGGCTCTTGACTAACTGCCCTGCAGCGATAGCAGACAACAGAGACAGCTCCCCTGCTAGAACGGATCCAGCAACAATGGTGGCCAAGAGTCTTGAGTTTGATCCTTGTGAATCCTTGCTCGCACCCTTCACGCCAAGCAGATTCAAGCAAGCTGACTGAGATGCAAGTTGAGTCCCACCCCCGACTGTACCTACCTGAGAGGACCACAAGTCACATACAACCCTAGCTATTGAGTTGGAAATATGGTAGTTAAAATCTCGATTTTTTACTACGATTTTATGTTTTTATGATTTTTTTGATCAAAACGATTTTACCAATATTCCGAAAGCTTTTACATTTTTACGTTATGATTTTTTTATCTTACGATTTTACGTTTTACAATTTTTTATTCCCTTTCTGATTTTACGTAAAATCTCGATTATAACTAACTAACTTGTTTGGAAAATTTAAAAAAATATGAATATAGACATCACCTCAATGGAAGGCATAGTCACTGAGATATGAAGGTCTCTCCCATCATTTACGGCTTCCATCATGGTTATGCAATGGGAACTCTCAACATTTTGTGCTGGATCTTGACCAGTGGCTATAAAAACAGCAGAAACAATGTTGCTGGCATGGGCATTATATCCACCAAGAGAACCAGCAACAGCAGAGCCAGCAAGGTTTTTGAGCATATTAAGCTCCACCAAGGCAGCTACATTGGTCTTCAATACCTTCTTCACCACATCTTCTTTGATAATTGCTTCACAAACAACTGACTTCCCACGTCCCTCAATCCAATTTACTGCAGCGGGTTTCTTGTCCGAACAGTAATTTCCTAAAGAATTGAGTCCATACATAGCCATCACATTTCAAGTCTAATAAAAATAACTTTATAGTCATCAGAATAACCAAACAAATAAATTAGTTCAATGGCACCTTCAACGTATGCAAATAAACTGGAAAACTTAACACCTAACTGAATTGGACATGACGAAAGAAAATAAAAGTAGCACACAGGAGGAATCCAACGAGATGTAAGGAAGCAGGTGATGAGTCTGAGAGCAAGGTCACGGTTCCAATTTTTTTTGCATCAAATTCACAGCTCATACTCATAGTTCATAGTACAACAATAAATGGATAAAATATGACTACTGTAACAAATAACATTAAATTACACACAAATGAGAGAATTAACCAATTTTTTTCTTATTAAAAATCAACTAACCAGAAAGTTAATAGAGACTGGTCAGATTACATTATACAATAAGAATACAGACAACTTCGACATGCATAAGTAGAATAACAATCTTGCACGACACAGGTTACTGGGTCAAATACAATAACATTATTAAAAATAATAAAGATATACATATATATATATATATATATATATATATATATATATATATATATATATATATATATATATATAAAATAAAATTGGAGTATTAAAGGACAACTATCATGTAAGAAAAAAGCACATAATTGATTTCACCAAAAAAAAAAAAAACACATAATTGAAGGGATACAGAAAGAAACGATGTGTTGTACATACAAAAGTATTTATTTGCATTAAACAGTATCCGTGGCATCAATGCAAGTTTGTTTAATATATAACAATCTAGGGGTTCCTACCCATTAAAGCGATAAAGGGTATAAAAATTACCAGAGATGCCGATAATATCCATGTCAGGGAAGTCATTTTGAAGGTAATCAAGGACATTCTGCACCCCTTTGGAAACCATGTTCATCCCCATGGCATCACCAGTGCTACAGGTAAATCTCGCATAAACATTCTTCCCGGCAATAGAACAATGAATACGTTGAAGCCTGGCAAATCTACTCGACCTATAGGACCAGACACAAACATCAAATTTCAGTATAAATTGGCACACATCCTGTAAACTATAATGCTTTTAAATTCAGATAAAATTTAAAATGTATAAATTAAAAAATATTTAAAAATATAAATTAAGTATGCGTAATTAATTTAGGTAAAAATTAAAAATAAAATTTATAAAAAATATATTTAAAATTATAAAAAATATTTATAGTTAATTAAAAAATAAATATAAAATTAAAGAAATTAAGAATAAATTATATGTTTTCTTAATTAAAAAAACAGACTAAGAAATTAAACTTCCATATAAATTTTATAAACTGCTCACAAAACAAATCTAGATTCTGAAGTTTTCTATGCCTTATTTTCTTCGCTTTTTTCTTTCCCAATTTTCAAAAATAAATCAAAATTTCAAAGAACAACTTCAGTATTGAAATTCACCAAACAAAACGCAAACAAAAAATAAAAATAAAAAAAGGAAACTATAGATGAGCCTTATCCCCGTAGAGGAAAATCCATCAACATCAAACATACCATGCCTAAACAAATATACGAAAAAATAAAAATGTGATAAATTGGAAACAATAAATTTCTCAATCACCACAAAAAAATAAAAAATCTCATCTCAGAAAATCATTCAACTACAGTGTTTAAACTAAAAAAAAGAACATAACACTTATTAAAGATATAAATAATATTTTATTTTATTTTGGTATGTTTGTTATTTTTATTAGCGTGAGTTGTAGAGTTGTTACCACCAATGTTATTAAACTCGATCAGGGCATCGACCTGGTCGGCGTACTGGATCACTAGTCGGACTGGTGGGTCACTGGTTAGACCGGTTAAGCCAGATATATAAAAATATATATAAATACAAACATATAAATTTAATTAAATTTTTCATATCTAAAATGAGTTAAACAAGCTTCACTAAATAAGCTCAAAAATTATCCAATCACACGTTTACAAATTCATAAAGCACAAATAAATAAAAATGCACGCCATTATTATGTCAATTTAAATTGCAACTCAGAATCTGCATAGCATACCTCTCAATGACATTCAAATGGCCAGATGATGTGAACTCATATTTTCCAAATTTATCTACATTGAAATGACATGTGTCACATTCTCTTAATTTATTGTTCTGCAAATTTCTTCAGTATTGGAAACTGAAATTTGGGGTCATTATAGAAGAATATATTACTAGTAAATAAAATTACAAAAAATTTTAAAATGAGTTCTACATTTTTGTCTGACAAGAAACAATTTTGGTTTTTGATTTTTTTATTTATTTATAAAAATGCATAACCAGACTGGGTCACCGATTTTGACTGGATTTGGCTTGTTTTGATCGAGTTTTGATCGGGCCGATGCATGACCGGTCGAATCGGCCTGATGACCGGTTCTTGGGGTTCCGGGTCAGGCCAGGCCGGATTTCACAACACTTGGTTACAACCCCCACTTCTTTATATTCTCTATTGTATCCATTTTACTCTATGAATTAACAATTAACAATTATCCTCCATGAATGGAGGTTCCGTTGCTATCATTTTCTTTGTTCCCTTCATCGATCTTCCTTTCCCTTTATGTAACTTTCCCTTTCATCTTCGTTTTCGTTTTATGGTTTTTCAGATCTATGGGTCATCTCCATTGTCCTAAATTTGTGATTACCTCATTATTCTGGGTCATCTCCTTCGGATTTTTATTTTCTCTCCAGTCTATCTTGTTCGCTTGTGTTTTCCGACATTCTCTAGTGATTTACATTACAAATCTATAAAAAAAAAAATTATTTTTTTTCCCTCTCGTCATTTCTATTTCTATTTCCTAGTTCTTTTCTATGTTTTCGTTAATGTTACCGATTTTGATCCATCACCAACGAGAAATCAGCTCGCATCTCCTGTTTTTCGTTAGTTCTCAACTCGTCGCCCCCTGTTTCTGTGTAACATTCCGAGTGCTGACGAGGGCGGGGAGTGATCGCCGGTGCAAAGAGGCACGGACAAGGAGCGACTCCTGACAAGCTTCCAGCGGGGGGTTACATGCATGAATGAATCGAATCGACACCCGAAAGAGAGAGATTCCAAAGACTGAGCAGGTGTGAGACTGCACAGTTTGGGATAGCTTATAAGAATTAATCGGTACTACCTATACTAATAAGATGCATCTTCTTTTCGGTAGCCCGGAACGGAAGAACTCCATAGTTAAGCGTGCTTGACTTGGAGCAATTCTGGAATGGGTGACCTCCTGGGAAGTTTTCTCGGGAAGTGTGCGAGTGAGGAAAAAACACACTGAAAAGTCTCGTGTTAGTATGTGGGGATAGTCATTGATTCTTGAAGCGGTCGGGCGTTACAAATGGTATCAGAGCAAAGCCTATCTTCCAGTACGGTATGGTTCGAGGACGAACTAGGCGGAAGCTGGTGGGCATGTAACATCCCGAGCGCTGACGAGGGCGGGGAGTGATCGCCGGTGCAAAGAGGCACGAACAAGGAGCGGCTCCTGACAGGCTTCCTACATGCATGAATGAATCGAATCGACACTCGAAAGTGAGAGATTCTAAAGACTGTGCAGGTGTGAGACTGCACAGTTTCGGATAGCTTATAAGAATTAATTGGTACTACCTATACTAACAAGATGCATCTTCTTTTCGATAGCCCGGAACGGAAGAATTCCATAGTTAAGCGTGGTTGACTTGGAGAAATTCTGGGATGTGTGACCTCTTGGAAAGTTTTCCTGGAAAGTGTGCGAGTGAGGAAAAAGTACACTGAAAAGTCTCGTGTTAGTATGTGGGGATAGTCATTGATTCTTGAAGCGGCCGGGCGTTACATTCAGCACCCTTATAGGAGGCGTCGTTCGTTCACCGGCGTCGTGTCTCTGTCCACTGGCGTCGTCCATGGCTGTTCTGCTTCTTGTTCCTGTCTTCGTGCAACTTGTCAACCACCGAGTCGTGCCACTCTTATCTTCGTCTTCGTCTTCGTCGAGTCTGCACGGATATTCATCGTGTCTGTTCCTGTTCATCGGATCTTCGCCGTGTTGACAACCTTGTTCCTATTCTCTTTGTGTTGTTGCTATGCTAAGACTTTATTTCTGGCTTCATTCTCCTCCAGATGTATCCTTTTTATTTATTTATTCTCATCTCCGTTTTTCTTTCTTCACATTTTTTTTTGAAATATGTTTTACTGTGTCACTCCCACTATGGGCTCATAGATTAATTGTGTTTCCCCGTGATATGTTTCTTTTATTTTGATTTTTGTTGATGTTTGGCATATTGTTATGATTAGGCTTGTATTTGGCCAATTTAATTTTATTCCCACATATGTTTGTGGTGTTATTCAAGTTTGATTTGGCTTGTATTTAGTTTTGCCATTATTTAGTTTTATTTTGGCCTGCCATTCCGGTGGAGCATTTATCTGATGTTTATCCAAGTGGCTGGTCCGCGAATTATGCATTACAGTGGCTCTGTCGGCTTTTATCCCAGTTGCAACACTGTTGTTTAGGCAGATGTCCATCTCAGCCCTTCCTTTGTTGATGTCCATTCCAGCACATTTTAGCTGATGCTTTACCAGCTCTTCAGACTGATGGTCATTCCAACTAGTTGATTTGCTATGCTATTCTCCAACTTATGTTTCGTGAAGCTTTGTTTTAATCTTCTTTCTTCCCAAAATGAAGTGTTCATGCTATTTACCCTCCATCTTGAAGGGAAGTATTAGAGATATAAATAATATTATTTTATTTTGATATATTTGTTATTTTATATTTGGATAAGTTGTAGAGTTACTACAACCCCTACTACTCCTTTATATACTATCTTGTATCCTTTTTACTCAATGACTTAACAATCAATAAATTTTTTTTTTTTGTAAGTATATTTTCTCTCTTTTACTTAGAACACTTGTCACATAAATCCGTACATATCAAACATAGGCATAAACCAAGATTTAAAATAAAAAAATCTAATATTTTAGAAGGAAAATCAAACTCTTATGTTCCATAAGATGAATCTCTCGTGTCACTCTCCCTTCGAATAATGTGTCTCTCTTTTTTTTCTTTTTTTTAAAGTTGATGGGCCCATTTTATTTATCTCTTTAACATGAGAAAACTTCTCTCATACTACGTGAGAGAAGTAATCCCCATTTTAGAAATAAATCCAAATTTGGAAGAACAACTACAACATTGAAACTCACCACCCACAGCCAAAAAGAAAAAAACAACAAAGACATCAGTTATCCAAAAAATATAGACTTGCCCCCGAATAAAATGGCTTTCGCGCAGGTTTATCATAAAAAAAAAATTGCTTCCGCGCAGAATATCTATGATTTATAAAAAATAAAAAAAAAACCTCGGTTTCATAAGGAAAGCCCATCAACATCAATCATAGCATGCCGTAAACCAACATAAAAATAATAATAAAAGAGATAAATTAGGAAAAATAAATCTCAAGCCGTTCACCAAAAAAAAACAAATTCCCAGACGACAAAACATTCTAACCAAATGTTGAAACTTGAAACCCACCCGAAAGAAAAAATCCCAAAAATCCAACACCAAACACAGTTCGCCATAAATGAAAAACAACAATTCCATGTACCAAAAAAAAAAAAAAAAACAATAATTCCATTCCATGATTGAAGAAAACAAAGAGACCTGTTGAAAACGACAGCCAACGTATCAAAATTGAGAGGATCCTCCAAGAAGATCTTGAGCTCGGCAGCCCTGTTGGCCGACGCGAATCTGACGACAGGCGCCCTACTCATCCCATCCCTCAGCACAACGCTGTGGGCCCCACCAGATGCATATATAGCCTTACACCCTCTATTGGTGCTTGCCACCAAACACCCCTCCGTTGTCGCCATCGGCACCGTGTATTCCACTCCGTCCAGAAGCAGCGGCCCCGCCACCCCCACCGGAACCTGCACATACCCCACCGGCATTTCGCAGCACTGTCCCAAAATCAATTCATAATCGAACCCTTCCAACGGCAACCCCTGGAGGGACCTCCCGGTCATCCTCTGCAGTGCCTCCCGACGGATCGCCGCGGCACGGCGGCAGTCCCCCAGGCGGGACTCAAGTGAGTAAGAGGGGACGGTGCCGGCGAGAACCGAATCGACGATGTCAGCGTCATCGTCGGAGGAAATTGAGGGAACCAAGGGGTCCGGTTGGGTTGATTTGGGGAATGGAGAGGAGGAAGAGGGTTCGGGGAGGTCAATGTCGGATGGGCGAGCAGCTATGAAGGATTGGACGAAGTCGATGCCAAAGAAGCCGAGGAGGTAGATGAAGGAAGCGACGAGGGCGAAGATGGCGGCGATGTCGGAGAGGGTGAGTAAGTGGAGTGGGGAGGATGAGCGCATCTTATCGCGCCAGCGGTGAAGGAGGTAGTAAGCGAGGGAGAAGAAGAGAGTGAAGAAGACCACGTTCGTGAGGTGGAGCGGGAGGGGGAGGGCGTCAGAAGCTTTGACCGCTGGAGATGGGGATTGTGTGTTGTCGGTGGTAGAGGATGAGGAGGAGGAGGAGGTGCCGTCGTGGGAACGGCGACGGAGCTCCATGGTGGCTGGCAATGAGGGTCAGAGAGAGAAAGAGAAAGAGAAAGAGAGAGAGAGAAGAAAATGGTGGAAAGAGTGCCAGCGAAATTGTTGCGAAAATGTTTGGTGTTGTTTATAGAGAAATGAATGGTGTGAGTGAGTGAGTGATGATGGATCATCCAGACAGAATGAGTGCAAGGCGCTGGGACGACTCTCCCATACAAGCTTTTCATTTCCCCCCACGTGCTCCTATGCCCTATTTGCGGCATTCTTTTTCGATAAGCACTTTTCTTTTTCCTATAGCACCATAAATAATTTATATTTATTATTAAAAAGTTTTATACTTTTTTTATTAAATTAATTATCATTAATTTCTGTTAATTAAATGGTTATAATTTATTAAAAAATTAATAAATATATTTAATAAATTATAACCGTTAAATTAATGAAAATCAATGATAATTAATTTAATAATAAGAGTTATAAAATTTTTAGTAGTAACTATAAATAACCACCCTCACACTTTATATAATACTCCAAAGTGCATTTTGTTTTGATAAAAAGGTCATTCTTTTATGGGTTTGCTTTTTCTAAAATCAATGTAGATAATTTATTTACATTGAGCCCAAAACGACGTCGTTTTGAGGCAGAAATTAAAGTATTTTTGTAATTATAATTTATTTTAAGGTTATAAAAAAAAATTTATTATAATTTTTTAATTTTTAACCCAAAACGACGTCATTTTAAGAACAAATATAGATAACTTATTTACATTCACTTTTAGAAATATTAAATCCTTGTTTTATATATCGAAAAATTTAACACAATCTATTATATAATTACTTATAGCTCTTGAGGCTAACCTCGTTGACTTTAAAAATGATATGTTATATCGGAGAGCATTTAGTCCTTTACAATTAAATTAATCATCATGATTTAGGTCATGTATTATAAAAAAATTATTTTAGGAGAGGTTTAAACACTTATTTCTAAATCCGCTCCGAATCGGACTAGTCGCAAAGCGATGAATCGATTTGAATATTTCTAAAAAAATAAATAAATTTATATTTAAAGTGTATGAATATGGTCAAATTTATTAAATATTATTTTGAGTAAAGTCTCTTTTGAATTCCTAATAAAAAATACGGTCCCCATTTTGATCACTTACAAAAAAAATATTTATGGTAATCTTTTTTGTGGGACTAAATTGGATTTTCGTCGAATTTAATGGGATCATACTTTCAAAGAACTGAAATTATAGATGAACCAAAAATTAACTTTTCTTACAAAAAAAAGTGAGAATCATGTTTTTTTGTTAGGAACTATAATATTTTTATTCATTTTTTAACACCATCTAACGCTAAATATGTTTAATGAAGGAAATGGAGGAAATTTTTTTGATGCTCCAGGACTTATGTGGTCTTTTCACTTGTATAAAAGTTTATTTTTTATTTTTTCTCTCTTCTCTTTCTTCAATAATTGTCTCATTCTAATTGGTTTGAACCACTAAATTAATGGTGATCCAGGACCACCAAAATTCTTCCCGAAAATGGATGAACGTGATAGGATGCAATTCCGAGGAACTTGAAACAAATTATTTTCGTTTTCGTAGTTATTCGTAATCATATCCAGGTAGGTTCGAGTTTGATTAACTACCGCAAGGGTTGATCCGATTTTTAGATTATTGTAAAATATTTAAAATTCAAAAAGTATATATGAGTAAGTTAAGTAAAGTTTAAAAATTTTAATTTAAAAGATATAATATTTAAAATAATAAAGAAAATATTTATAATTAATATAATACATTAAAAATTAAAATAAAAGATGTTATGAATAAGAACTCGCACCGTTAATTAAGAAAGTTAATTAATTAATTATGAGAAATTAGGAAATAATTTCATAATTGATCCTAATAATTATTATGAGGCTTAGATAATTATGGTAAGTGATTAATAATTCTGAAAGTCGTTTTTCTGACGAAAAGTGCAGATACCGGTTCTGCTACTCGGTATAAATGCGTACCGATGAAGTATCCCGGAAAATTATGAAAAGTGTGTATATGTCACTAGAATAATATATAGTACTTTTAAACCAAGTTTCAAGTCAAAATAATGAGAAACGGTGCCATAACTGATACTGACTATGGAAAAGCGCGTACCGGAAAAGTGCTGCGAAAAATAAAATAAAAATATGATAAATCTTAGAAAAATGAGTAGGCTCATAATCTTAAGTTTGGAATTAAATTGCTAAGCATAACAATTAGTGGTAATACAGTGCAATTAAGTTTAAACCGGCTATAAATATTACTTTTGCACAAAACCCTAGGCATTTTACTATTGCTACGTGACCTTGGAGGCTGACCAGTCTTTGTGAACTATTCCATTGCCTTCCCTTCCCCATTTCTTGAGCCTTGAGACCATTTCCTTCATGAAATCTCCTCCAAAACACTTGGTGTGAGTGAGGATTACCTTTGGGGGTGAGTGTTGGCCTTGTTTCTGAACCTTGGGTCTCTATTTGGAGAGTTTAAGGTGCTGAGTTTCTGAGTTGTGAGGGTGAAGCCATTGTCATGGCATTTTGAGGTCCAAGAAGTGACCTTTGTGAAGAAAGAACCAACATTTGGTGTGCCATTTTCGTGTGCCTTGAAAGTCTGAGCTTAAGGAGCTGTTTGGTGAGCTCCAAGAGCCATTATACCTCTGTTTTGAGCTTGGGTAAGCTTTACCACCTTTGATCATGAGTTTGAATGGGTAAAAGTGGAGTCTTGACATGTAATATGTTAAAATGAAGTAACCAACACGTATATGAACCTGTATATGCCTAAAAATGGATCAATGGACGTATAATAAGGGTAAAAGTTAGACCTTTGAGTGATATCTTCGCGAAAATGTAAAACTGCATTCTGTCGCGAAATATCCAGATATGATATCCGGATATTGGTATCCGGATATGGGATATTGAGATATCCGAATATGGATATCCGGATATGGGATATCCGGATATGGCCCCGACAAATATCCAGATATTCTGGATTTTCGAGAACAATAACGGTACTGTTCATACAGAACTGAGTTATGGGTTTGTGGACCCTAGATTGTGGAAGTTGAACTTCTGTAATAACTTATTTAAGTCAGAATCAAGTGATTAAGGGCTTGTGGCTTTGTGAAGAGCCTTAAGATGTAACATCCAGAGCGCTGACGAGGGCGAGGAGTAATCGTCGGTGCAAAGAGGAACGGACAAGGAGCGGCTCCTGACAGGTTTCCAGCGGGGGGTTACATGCATGAATGAATCGAATCGACACCCGAAAGAGAGGGATTCCAAAGATTGTGCAGGTGTGAGACTGCACAGTTTGGGATAGCTTATAAGAATTAATTGGTACTACCTATACTAACAAGATGCATCTTCTTTTTGGTAGCCCGGAACGGAAGAACTCCACAGATAAGCGTGCTTGACTTGGAGCAATTCTGGGATGGGTGACCTCCTGGTAAGTTTTCCCAGGAAGTGTGCGAGTGAGGAAAAAACACACTGAAAACGTAAGGAAAGACTCTGCTGTGTTTGGACTTTGAGCTTGTGTGGACTCTTGGCTTGGATAGCTAGCTTGCAAGGTAAGCTTTCCCTAAATATTATCGTGAAAAAAGGAGCATCGGGTTTCACCATGAGGCTACATTTCCTATGTTCACAGAGTATAAATGAAGATCAAGGAAACGGGGGAGCATGGAGCTTTATGATGGGTGCTCAATCAGATCATATAACATAAAATATGGTCAAATATAATTTGCTAATTGAATTGATTGCTGATTGCAGCTGGAAAATTATTGATTGATGATTGAACCAAAATTATTGCTAATTATCTTCTTTATACTGTGATGTAAAGAATAATTAAACAGGTGGTGTGGAGATCCCCTCTAAAAAAGGAAGGAGATCCAGATCCATTCAACTAAGGAAGGAAATCCACCTAGATGAATACAAGACTTGAGCAAAAGAAGCCAAACTGAAAGAATAGCCGAGGCAAGAAAAGCAGGGCTCGAGAAAAAAGGCGAATACTGTGGCCTAAACTTAAAATCAAAATGTTAACATTTCACTTTTGTAGATTATGAAGAAAGAGTCAAAATGAAGACCGGCCCACCGAAATATAAATGGTTTATTTATAAAGAATGAAGACGGGTTTGGAGAGATGTGGTCCTAGAAAGAGAATCACATCCCAATCCGCGAAAAAATGAAGACGGGTTTGGAAAGATGGGATCCTAGAGAAAGGATCACACCTCAATCCGGGATAAAGACCCAAGATAAAAATCTGGGGTAAATGAAACTCTGGCAAGAAGCCGAGTTAAATATTATAACGTCGAGGTATTTGAACCCTCTTGCCTACGGGCAAGATTGCGAGTTCTAGCCCGGCCTACAACGTCGAGGTATTTGAACCCTCTTGCCTACGGGCAAGATTGTGAGTTCTAACCCGGCCAATAACGTCGACGTATTTGAACCCTCTTGCCTACGGGCAAGATTGCGAGTTCTAGTCCGGCCTACAATGTCGAGGTATTTGAACCTGTCTTGCAAAAATAGCAAGAACGTGAGTTCTAGCCGAGGTAAATAATCTTGGAAGATAGGGGGACACCCTTAGATTCTCAAGTTCTTGCGAAGAAATCAAAATTATTGCTAAGAAAGAAACACATTCAAGTTTTGATAAGAAATCAGACTTGCGGAATAAAATGAAGAGATTACTGCTATTACATCCCGGCAGCCTGGACAACCAAACTTTCGGGCTGGGGGGCAATTGTTATGTACCTGACAAAGACCTATATTCTAGAAGGACCAATAAAGGACAACACAAAAGGAAGGGAATCTCCTATTGATGACAATCCTATCCAGACAGCTAAGCAGTTGGACTTGGGTCCCTAATATTCCTAAGAGGCCCAGAAGTACATTCCTTTAGGTAACCCATCTATAAATAAGGGGTTAAACTAATAAGGTACACACTCTCAAAAAACCCTCTCTCTTAGCTTGTTACTGTGCACACACCCCACGCCTTGATTATGTCGATTATTATTGTGCACAGTGATCAGCCTACCCTCAAGGGAATCTCATTCATAAATACTTGAGAGAGGACACCTAGATCCTACATAAAATATACCAGTCACTGGTTGGACATCTCTGCCTTTCAGACCGAACATGAACTAAACTTCAGTAATTTATATTTGAGAAAGCGCATGGGCATCTTTTTAATATTATAATACTATTTGGAAAGTATGTGACATGGGCCTTTACCATCTATTTAATATTGTAATATTTAAAAAAAGGGGTGTTTTCTGTGTGATGAATTCACCGTTTGAGAAGCACGCTCTAATTTCGTTTCTGAATATTATATTTCCAATTGTATTTGCATCATGGCTGAATGTATAGAATAGCTGGGCATTGCATTTATAAATATATTATATATGAAATTAGAGAGTTGAAGGTACGCATCTTTTCACAAATTTAGATGTGAAATCCTGTGGTACATGTTGTGGTACCATCTCACATGAATGTCACAAATTATTCGAAAGAGTATATACGAATGCTGCACCTTATTCATGTTACACCTTATGATTGGAATATTACATGAATGAGTGCATTGTCATTTCAGTATATGAACGAATTGTTGGGATAAATTTTAAATGTTCGTTTTTTAGTAGTTTTGATTTTTTAGTTTCTTGTGTCAGTTAGAATATTAATGAGTCAGTTATGTCAGTTATAAAGTAATGAGGGTGTTATGTGTGGAGTTATGTTGGTTAGTTTTATAGCTTATAAATAGCCTTTGATAGTTTGTATGAAATGTAGATCAAGATCAAGTAGATCAAGAGAAAAAGAGAAAGAGCAAGAAAGCAAGAATAGAAAAGAAAAGTTTTTTTGTAGATACACAAGTCTGGTTGTCTCTTGCATCTGTGTGGATATTCAATTCTAACAAATTGGTATCAGAGCTTGGGCTATGGAGGAAAAGAACGAGATGGAAGTGCCACTCTTTTATGGAGATAAAGATGAAGCATTGGTCTTCTTACTTTGTCTAAAAGAATATTTTCGGAGAGAAAAAACATTTGAAGAGAACAAATGGCAGGTAGCCATGAGAAGACTCAGAGGAAGCGTAATCAAATGGTTCCGTACATGGAACTGCCGCGACTTTAATAATATGTGGAAAGATTTTCTAATGGCCTTCATAACAAAATACTTGCGTGGACGTTTTGATCTGATTAATGAAGAAGATGAAATCTTCAATGATGATGATGAAGATGATGAAGATGATGCGGATGAAGAAGAGACCGAGATGGCGGAATCCGAGGTTGCCAACGGCAACGCATCCGCGGAGGAGATTGACGTGTCAGAACGCGTAAGAGACGACTCGGAGAAGAAGACGATGGAGATGACTGTGGTCGAAGGAGCCGAGATAGAAGAGGAGGAGAACGAAGGAACTGAGATAGAAGATGAGGAGAACGAAGGAGCCGAGATCGAAGCAGAGAAGGAAGGGAATGACGAGTCCATTGTCGAGGTAGAAGACTTCGTGCAACTTGAGTGTCTGGAGACAGAGTCGAAAATCGGAAAGGAGATTGAGAAGCCGAGGTGCTTGACGGAGACCGGCATGGAGGAGACCGCGAATCCGAGTTCTGTGTTGATAACCGGGATGGGGGAGATCCCGGCTAATTCACCGAGTTCATGTTTTGGAGAAGAGCTCGACCCCGGCGTGATGAGGTTGATGTCGGAGACCGACATAGACGCAGTTCGGGTTGGAAGTCAGAAGTCGGAGACTGCATTGAATTTATGGTGGAAGTGGAAGATGTCGACACCACGGAAAAGAGACCATTTCCCTGGAGGACGGTGGTCTGAGATTCCATTGATGAGGCGCGTGGAAGCTGTTCTCGATGAAGAAGAACCCGGCGATGAAGAAACTGAGAGCGGAAAAATGGAAGGTGTGATTGTGGATAGGGAACCCGGCGATGAGGAGCCTAGAGTTACTTTTATGGCGGAATCATTTTGGCTCAAGCGTAAACCAGAAGAAGATCGTGGGGCGGAATCAGAAAATGATGCGTTGAGTTATTTGCTTGATGATGGGAATCAACGGTCCTCAATGAGTGATGGGGTTATTGTGGTTGATGAGGCCCAACGTGCTATTAATGTAGCACATGTTGAATCTGAAAGTATTAAAATTGGCATAGGTGTTGTAAAACTAATGGGACGTTATAGTGATACAGATACTGATCAGTATGATGACTTGTGTGAAGATCATACGTGTAGGAATGGATGTGGAAGTATATTGGAGGATGAGGTCGACAGAGGAAAATTCAAGACTGTCTATCTTCCACCAATGAAGGAACCGCCAGACAAAAAAAAAAAAGAAATTGAAGAAAGGAGTGCAACATGGAAGCGGCGCAGCAACGCAAAAAAAATCAACCGGTGGAAAATTCAAAAAAGAAGAATTCAAAATTTATGGGGGAGTTTTGTTGGGATAAATTTTAAATGTCCGTTTTTTAGTAGTTTTGGTTTTTTAGTTTCTTGTGTCAGTTAGAATATTAATGAGTCAGTTATGTCAGTTATAAAGTAATGAGGGTGTTATGTGTGGAGTTATGTTGGTTAGTTTTATAGCTTATAAATAGCCTTTGATAGTTTGTATGAAATGTAGATCAAGATCAAGTAGATCAAGAGAAAAAGAGAAAGAGCAAGAAAGCAAGAATAGAAAAGAAAAGTTTTTTTTGTAGATACACAAGTCTGGTTGTCTCTTGCATCTGTGTGGATATTCAATTCTAACACGAATGCATTGCAATATTATTTAAATAATATAATGGGGTCAAATTGTTGATATGCAGAATACGATACTTGGGTTGCATCCCGTATTCTTTCTTTAATGGATTGTTCCTTGTCATTTGTAATTTTAATTAGCTTGAATTGATGGCTGATTTTAATCCCCTGAGCCCACTGGAGGAAAAAGACAAAAATCAATCAAGAAGATAGAATTGAGATAGCGTTTTTATATTGACAATTCATTAGATGGTCATGAATAAAGATGTTGATTTCATTTTGACCATCCCCTTATAGTCATAACCGACTCACAGGAATAGATTATATAATCACTTGCATGGATTTGCAAAACCTGCTTGATAATGTTAAGGTATCAACACACAGATGCAAGAGACAACCAAACGAATAATCTACGAAAGTTTTTCTTTATTATCAAACTCTCTTTTTCTTGCTCTGTTCTTTCTATGACGATTACATCTCCTTATATGGTAGCTTGCTAAAAATAACTTAAACACCTATTAAAAGCTATTAAACGCAATAAAACATAAACCGTAGAAAACTTACAGCCATTTAACAAATATCAAAACCAAACCCCCATAACACTTAACCAACATTAATTCCTAAACATAAAACTTCTAGAGACCCATTAATCTAAAAACCGTACATTTAAGTTTATCTAATAACACTCCTCCATAAACTTAAATGCTTCTTCCATCTTTCATCCCAAGCATCTTCTTGCAATTGTTGAGCAGCAACGTCGGCAGTGGCTTTGTGAAAATGTCCCCGACTTGCTCTTGACTGGTCACATGTGTTAACTCCACATTTCCTTCCTTTACTTGATCCCGGATGAAGTGAAATCGGACGTCAATATGCTTGCTTCTCTCATGATTCACCGGGTTCTTGGCTAACTCTATAGCCGACTTGTTATCAACTCGAATCTCGGTTTGGCCGACTTGTTTTTCCTCCAACTTGCTTAGTAAATTCCTAAGCCATACTGCATGACAAACACACCAAGATGCTGCTACATATTCAGCTTCACAGGTAGACAAGGTTACAATGGGTTGCTTCTTCGAAATCCAAGTGAATGTCGTGTTGCCCATGAAAAACACATAACCAGCCGTGCTCTTTCGATCATCTACGTCTCCACACCAATCACTGTCAGAGTATCGAATCAACTTGTGTTTTGCTGAACTCGGGTAGTGTAACCCGTGTGAAATTGTACCTTGAACATACCTCAAAATTCTCTTTACCGCCTTCCAATGTGTGTATCTTGGCTCCTCCATGAACCGACTTACTACGTCGACACTCAACGAGATATCCGGCCTCGTGCATGTGAGATAGCGTAGGCTTCCCACCAAGCTTCTGTATTTGCTTGCATCAACTAGATCTCCACCATCATACTTTGAGAGTTTTGAACCGGGTTCCATAGGAGTTGAAACCGGCTTGCAATCTGCCATCTTAAATCTTTTGAGAATCTCCTTTGCATATGCCTCTTGAGAGACAAAGATACCCGAGTTGTCTTGTCTGACTTCCAGACCAAGAAAATATTTCATCAGACCAAGATCTGTCATTTCGAATTCTCTTGTCATTGTGCTCTTGAACTCTTGTATCATCTTGGCATTGTTTCCCATAAAAATGAGATCGTCAACATAAAGAGCTACAATTAACAAGTCTCCTCTATTTTTCTTAACATAAACAGCGTGTTCATATGGACATTGTTCAAGTCCATTCTCCTTGAAATATTTGTCAATACGAGCATTCCATGCCCGTGGTGCTTGCTTCAACCCGTAAAGTGCTTTCTTCAATCTCAGCACCTTCTTCTCTTCTCCTGCCTTCATGTAGCCCGCGGTTGTTCCACATAGACTTCTTCTTCAAGAACACCATTCAGAAATGCCGACTTTACATCCATTTGATGTATTGGCCACCTGTATTGAGCAGCCTGTGAGATGAGTAGCCGAATTGTCTCCATCCTTGTAACAGGGGCAAACACCTCGTCATAGTCAATTCCAGCCTTCTGCTTATAACCTTTTGCAACTAGCCGAGCTTTATTTCGTTCTATCTCCCCTTTAGCATTCATCTTCTTCTTGAACACCCACTTCACTCCAATGGGCCGACTTCCGTTTGGTAGCTCGGCTAACTCCCATGTGTTATTTCGGTCAATGGCTTCTATCTCCTCATCCATGGCATCTTGCCATTTCTTATCTCGGATGGCTTCTTCAAAACTTATGTTTTCAGAGTCTGCAAGAAGACAAACAAAATGTACCTCACTTGTTGACTCATATATGTCCTGTATGCTCCGCATCCTGGGTTGTCGTACCTCGTCTTCATCATCAGAAACTTCAGGGCTTGCCGGGTTGATAATTTGTGTTGAGATTCTGCCTTCAAAATTCACCTCGGATGAATTGCTCCAGTCCCACTCATTTGCTTCATTAAACCTTACATCTCGGCTTACTACAACCTTCTCGTTGACGGGGTCAAACAGCTTATACCCCTTTGTTTTTTCATCATATCCCACAAAAACATATTTCCTGCTTTTGTCCTCGAGCTTAGTTCTGAGCTGGTCTGGTACGTGTGCATAGGCCACACTACCAAATACTCTAAGATGTTCCACTGATGGCTTTTGACCACTCCAAGCTTCTTATGGTGTTTTGTCATCTAAACTCGAATGTGGACATCGGTTCTGCACATACACAGCACACTGCACAGCTTCCGCCCAAAACTCCTTCGGCATCTTCTTGTTTTTGAGCATTGACCGAACCATGTCAAGAATAGTTCGGTTCTTCCTTTCAGCCACACCGTTCTGTTGTGGTGAGTATGGTGCTGTTAGAAACCTCCTTATCCCCTGTTCCTCACAAAATGTCAGAAATTCTGTCGAGGTATATTCCCCACCTCGGTCAGAACGCACCGATTTGATATAGCTTCCTGTTGCCTTCTCAATCATCACCTTGAACTTTTTGAACACATCAAACACCTCGGACTTCTCCTTCAGAAAATAGACCCAAGTTTTCCGTGAGAAATCATCAATAAAAGAGAGAAAATACTTCTTACCGCTAAAAAAACCCGGATTGATGGGTCCACACAAGTCGGTATGTATTAATTCCAGAGGTTGCTTAGCCCGAAACCTTGCCGTCTTCTGAAACGTAGTCCTGGCATGCTTGCCAAGTACACAACTCTCACAAAATTTTCCTTCAAAGTTTATGTCAGGTAACCCGTCCACCATCTTCTTCTTTGCCAACTCGGTTAGACCACCATAATGTAGGTGACCAAACCGGAGATGCCACAGTGACGCCTTATCTTCTACCTCGGCTTGTAAACATTCAACCTGTACACATTTCAAATTCAGTTTATACATACGATTCTTACCCATTTGAACTCGGACTATCACCCGACCTCGCTCATCTTTCAAATACAATACCCGGTCTTTCATAATAACCGAGTAACCTTTCTCCATCAATTGACCCATGCTTAAAATATTGCTTTTTAGGTCGGGTACATAGTACACATCTCGAATTGAGCCAATTAACCCGTCCTTTTGTAAAAAACAGATCGTACCTCGGCCTTTTACCTCAACCTTCGAGGCATCCCCGAATGAAACATGTCCGGTTTCCACCTTTCTCATCTCCTTGAATAAGTGCTTATGTCCGCACATGTGGTTGCTCGCACCCGTGTCAAGATACCACTCCATGTCATCGTCTGACCTTCCTTCACTGTGTGTCATTAACAAGACACCATCCTTCATCTCGCCTTCTGTGGCTAGGTTAGATGTCTCCTCCACCCTTTTCTCTTCTCTGCATTCTCTTGCAAAATGTCCAACCTTGCCACAATTGTAACATTTGTCCGAGTTACAATCTTTTGAATAGTGACCATACTTGCCACACTTGTAGCATTCAATGTTTGAATAATGTGACCGACCTCCTCGACGACCCCGTCCTCTTCCACGCCAGTTCTGTTGACTTGATTGTCCTACCTCATCATTACAACCTTCTTGACTTCGGCCTCGGCCCCTACCACCACGGCTAGTACCTCGTCCACCGCGGCCATGTCCTCTACCTCGAAAGTTTTGAGAATAGAGAACCTTCTCATCTTTAATTGTTGCTTTGGTCTGAAGCGCTTGTTCAAGAGTCTCCTCCTTCTTCTTCTTTCTTTGTTCATGCGCTTCAAGAGAACCCGCCAACTCATCAATAGTGAGTGTAGACAGATCCTTGGACTCCTCTATCGCACAAACCACGTTTTCGAACTGGTCTGTCAAAGATCTCAGGATTTTCTCCACCACTCTGGTGTCAGGTATAACTTCTCCATTCCGTTTCAACTGGTTCACAACTCCCTGAACCCGGGCAACGAACCCGGATACTCCTTCCGTGTCCTTCATCTTTATTCCCTCCAACTCGGCACGAAGGGTTTGAAGCCGGACTTGTTTAACCCGGTCAGCTCCTCTATAGACATTTGCCAAGGTGTCCCAGGCTGCCTTTGAGGTCTCACAATTTGCTATCTTCTCGAACCCGGATTCGTCCACAGCTCGGAAGAGCATGAATAACGCCAGCTTGTCCTTTGCACGCGTCTCTTTCAACGTTTTAGTTTGAGCCGCCGAATAGCCTCCAGTGTCCTGTGGTTCTACAAAACCTGCTTGAACATTCTCCCAAGCGTCCTGGGATCCGAGAAGAGCCTTCATCTGGATGCACCAATTCTCGTAGTTCTCCTTCGTCAACTTAGGTAGTGCCATATCACTCCCCCTTTCCATAGCTCTGATACCAATTTGTTAAGGTATCAACACACAGATGCAAGAGACAACCAAACGAATAATCTACGAAAGTTTTTCTTTATTATCAAACTCTCTTTTCTTGCTCTGTACTTTCTATGACGATTACATCTCCTTATATGGTAGCTTGCTAAAAAATAACTTAAACACCTATTAAAAGCTATTAAACGCAATAAAACATAAACCGTAGAAAACTTAGCCATTTAACAAATATCAAAACCAAACCCCCATAACACTTAACCAACATTAATTCCTAAACATAAAACTTCTAGAGACCCATTAATCTAAAAACCGTACATTTAAGTTTATCTAATAACAATTTAGACTTACAACATATGCAGTTACTTTAATGATAATTTTAGCAAGTCCGTTATCTTCTACTCATTTAATTCTCTTGTTGACTAGCTGCACGCATCCTTTTTTGGATTTAAAAAATTTATGCCTCCTTTTGTGCCTACTGTACTTTCAGTGATAATAATAGTGGGACAAACTTGGGAGTTTTCAAGCATATTAGTCTAAATGTTTAGGGGTAAAAGAAGAAAAGTAGCCTGGGTTGATCAAATTACATAACCAGAAGATATAGTCTTGCTTATTAAACATATAAGATGGACCCGAGTGTAGCTCAGTTGGCAACATAGGCTTTTTTCTAGTTACTTCGTTCTCTATTTCTATTTGAGAGAATCTTTAGAAAAATAAAAAAATTTCCGTCGAGCTAAAATATGTCGATGATCTGCTCCAATAACGAATAATTGGTTTAACGGAATAAAAAAAAAAATAGATAGACCTTTCTTTCTCTTCGTCTCGCACCTCTGGTGTGCCAGTTATCGTGCCCATGGTAAACGCTGGGTAGCCAAGTGCGGAGCTGTTAGGATGCCTCAGCTGCATACATCACTGTACTTCCACTTGACACCTATCGTTAATGAGAAACGGCTCGTCTCGCCGTGACCTTGTTGCCTGTGGGGGGAGAAACTGAGTTCGATTCTCACCAAATACACCTTTGAGGAGGGGGCAAAGAGTTTTCATTGTGACTAAAGCCCCTACTTGGGATTAGTCTCATAACAGGCTCAAAGAGTGTAAGCTTATGGGGATACCCGAGGGGCCGACTCGCCTCAAAGAGAAAATTAGGGAGATAAATTTTTCTCCACACATATAAAAGTGTGTGGGGTCCATATTTTTTCTTTCTCTCTTCTAGGGCCCCAACATTTTTATGTGAGCGTAGGAGATAAATTTATCTCCTACAACTTGAGAAACATTAAATTCATATATATATATGGGGTTTGATTTTCTCATGTTAAATGAGAATTTCTCATGTTGTAGAGATAAAAAGCATGTGGGACCCATGTGTTAGAAAAAATTATATGTAGGACTCGTGTCAGTACGGAAATCGAAGGGTGTGTAGGAAAATTTGAATTCTCGTGTTAAATGAGAATTATATATATATATATATATATATATATATATATATATATAACAATCTTTTAGAATTAATAATTATTGCTCCCACTACAATGACTACAGGATGCAATTCTTTTTTTCCCTCTACAATGATAACTCTTGGCACTTTGTAGGCATATTAACCTAATTTAAGGTAGTAATGAAATGAAAAATCAAAGAAGGAAAGAAAATCTATAGGCCCGCAATTGAGGAATTGATATGTTAGGGATGAAATGAAAATTTATTTAACTGAATCAATAAAACTTTTATGATATATTTTGGCTGAATTATGATAAATTAAATTAAGAAAAGGAATGAATTAAATATTGTTCAATGAGTGAATGTATGATGGCATAAAAAAGAGAAGAACTGAAATGTTGTATTAAATTTTTAACTATTCATCAATTTTTTTACCTTATCCTATGATTTCATTTACAATTTGGAAAATGGGGATGGGGTTCTGATTCATGAGTTGTTTCTTGAATTGGAAATTATGGGGCTTTGAGTCTCGCCCCATAGTAAATTAGGGCTCCTGCTAATACTAAATCAATGAGGAGCACCCAGACTCCAGATGGAATAGGAGGGTGCATTAGGATAAACATACAGAGTTGGGAAATTTGATGACATAGTTGTTGTGCATGCAGCATTGTGTTTCTGTCTGTCAAGACTGCAGGCCAAACCTTTAAACCGTTATTATGACAGCTTTACTTGGAGAAGAACTTGTTCTGCATAAAATACAAAAACTGACAAGAAAATGACAATCTTGTACTAACCTAGTATTCTTGGTGCATGAGATGGTGATGGTGAAGCAGTAAATGATCCCTATTGGATTTATATTATGGATCAGGTGTCTAGAAATATGGTGTTCTCTGTATTAAGGGTAAAATCAAGTTCCAGCAAAGTTGTAGACATTTTAAAGAAGTCCCACATTTCATGGTACATGAAGAGTATCTTTTTATGTTTTTTTTTTAGCCTTTTTTTTAATTTAAAACATATTTAAAAAATTTATGATGATTGGATAAGTGTTCAAAAAAAATAAGAGGGGGCGGGGGTAAAAATATCAAAAAAAATTGTTTTAGAAATAGTAGCTTCTGAAAAATGCTCTCAAAAAAGCTATATCATAAAGGTGTTTTTTTTTTCAAGCTTATCCAAAGGCACCCTTATTTGTCTTCTGGGGTTTTTGTATCCTGTGAATATAGTTTCAAGTTATCTGTTTTGTTCCGTATCGTCTCTTTTAAGGTAGACCTGGGTAAGTTCTTATCTTATGGTTATGGATACTGGTGAAAAATGTTTTTTAGGTACTTTTATGTGGATTTATATTAAGTTGACCAGTTATATAAAGTATTTTTTTTTTGTCATCTTTACCTATTTTATGCTGTGGATGCTTGTTTCTGCTTCTTCAGAACAGCTAATAACTTTATGGCTCTTGCATTTTCTGCTTTAGTGGCTTTTAAATTATCCAGAAGGAAGACTGATGATACTTTGAAATTGCTCCACACAGTCCTCTTTGGTAGGAGAGGGAAGGTATATCCTACTTTGTGAACTATCTATTTTTTTCTGTCATTTTACACCACTACTTGTTTCCCGTCAACATATATATTACCCCACCTCTATTTTAAGGATATATGATAGTGCATGCTTAGACTGATAAAAGATTACACTTAACTGAGATAATGAAATTGACCGTCACAGAGATGTTATTGTGCTTCTATGTGACTCATTGTTTATTCTTCTGCGCTTTGCAGGCAGTTCAGATCAAGAGTAATATATCAAGATTTTCTGGTTTTGTGTGGCATGAAAATGAGGTAACCACTGCTAAAACTTGTAATTTGCAACCAAGTCATATATTAACAAAATGTAGGGTGTTATTGACTTGTTTGTAGTAACTTCTTTAATGAATGCGTACTTTTATGCATATAGACATATAGCTATTCCTTGTCTTCCTAAGCTTCTAAAATCAATATTGTTACTGCAGGAAAAGCAAATGACTAAAGTAAAAGAAAAATTTGACAAGTGTAATAAAGATAAGTTACTGGAATTCTGCGATGTGCTTGACATACCACTAGCGAAGGCAACTACAAGGAAGGTTTGTTGATTTAGCACTGCTGATGCATTTGTTGTGGATAAATGTTAAATTTTACGGAGAAGTGATTTTCTGCCAAATCTTTTTTCTGCTAATGCTGTGATTTCTTTTCACTTTCTGGACTTTTCCACGAAATTTTATAACTCGTGAATATGGGGATGGTATTACTATTTGTGTGTTAATGCTTGAGTAGGTGCATCATGCATGCATTAAGACAATCACCAGTGCAGTTGATAATAATCGTAGTGCATTCATCTCCTTGATGCCTTTGTGCTTGAATTAGCATCCTTGTTCTTTCTGATGCTAATAATCTTCTACATAAGCAGGAAGATATTGTTGCCAAGCTGATTGACTTTTTGGTTGACCCTCAAGTGACAACAACTATGCTTCTTGCAGAAAATGAGAAGGTTTATTATTTTTTCTTTGCCTTTTCAATTCCCCTCGAGTGACAACAACTATGCTTCTCTCTCTCTCTCGCTCTCGCTCTCTCTCTCATGGTGTTATGTTTTTACTTAAAGACCTATGTTTCTGGTGCAACATGTTCGTATTATTTATGTTTTCCCAATTATCTATCGAATTAGGGGAAAAAGCGCAAGCGCACAGCTAAACGAGGTTCATCAAGATCTGGAACCACATCAAGACGATCTGCGAAGGTGCTATTTCACTCCTTTAACTGCAGAAATTTGAAATGTGATTTAAGATATGTTCTATAATTGGTGAAGTGCTTTCCAAGTTTAAGTCTTATGGTAAAATATCAGTCTAGCCTACCATTAGACTGTGTGTTTATCCCACTTCTGCTTGTTTTGAACTCTTTGAATTGCATTTGTTTGTTAACCTTTATTTTTTCTCGAGTTTCTGGTTCTCTTCTCATACTTGAGTTGAGCATCAAGAGCCCCACGGGAAAGGGTTGTCATATCCTTTCTAAAAATGATTTTTGCGAGATACTAATTTGCATGTCTAGTGCTGTCAAATGGCAGCCATGGGGCACGATAGCTGAAGGAAGTGGCATGATTTCAGAAAAATGCCATCAAAATCCCATGGCCTGGCCAGGGCTTATATCATTAAATTGTTTGCATATCAGTGGTTCATTAGCAGCATCTCTTATTGTAATTGTTGTTCATGTTAGAATTTGATATCTACACACAGATGCAAGTGACAACCACACAAGTATATCTATGAAGAACTTTCTGTTGTCAAATCTATTCTCCAAATTGTACATTACATCAAGCCTATTAATAGGCAAAACAAAAAAACGGAAAGTACTAATGAAGAGACTCTACTAATGAAGAGACTCATTACAAGGCTAATCAAGAGTCTCATAAACCCTCATAACATCACTAACAACTCTAAACTCATTAATGTCCACTAACACAAACCTAAAGACATGACTCTTCACCAGAAAACTCTTCACCAGAAAACTCGTCCAGGAAGGCTTTGTGGAACCAGCGACCACCGCAGGATACACAGCGGCCCAAACTAGAACGTTGAAAGAGACACGTGCAAAGGACAAGGCAACGTTGTTCATGCTCTTTCGAGCTGTAGACGAGTCCGGCTTTGGAAAGATAGCGAATGCGGAGACCTCAAAGGAAGCGTGGGACATTCTGGCAAATGTCTATAGAGGAGCCAACCGAGTTAAGCAAGTTCGGCTTCAAACCCTTCGTGCCGAGTTGGAGGGAATGAAGATGAAGGACACAGAAGGAGTATCCGAGTTCATTACTCGTGTTCAAACCATTGTGAATCAATTGAAACAAAATGGAGAAGATGTAGCGGACACCAGAGTGGTGGAGAAGATCTTGAGATCTTTGACCGACAGCTTTGAGAACGTGGTATGTGCTATAAAAGAATCCAAAGATCTAGCTACGCTCACCATTGATGAGCTAGCCGGTTCTCTTGAAGCGCATGAGCAACGGAAGAAGAAGAAGGAGGAGACTCTTGGACAAGCACTTCAGACCAAAGCAACACTTAAAGATGAGAAGGCTCTCTATTCTCAAAACTTCCGAGGTAGAGGACGTGGTCGCGGTGGACGAGGCACTGGCCGTAATGGTAGAGGCCGAGGCCGAAGTCAAGAAGGTTGTAATGATGAGGTAGGACAATCAAGTCAACAGAACTGGTGTGGAAGAGGAAGAGGTCGACGAGGAGGACGATCATATTATTCCAACGTCGAGTGTTACAAGTGTGGCAAGTTTGGTCACTTTGCGAAAAATTGTAACTCGGACAAGTGTTACAACTGTGGAAAAGTCGGACATTTTGCAAGAGAATGCAGAGAAGAGAAAAGGGTGGAGGAGACATCCAACCTAGCCACAGAAGGGGAGATGAAGGATGGTGTCTTGTTAATGACACACAATGAAGGAAACTCAGATGATGACATGGAGTGGTATCTTGACACGGGTGCGAGTAACCACATGTGCGGACATAAGCATTTCTTCAAGGAGATGAGAAAGGTGGAGACCGGACATGTTTCGTTCGGGGATGCCTCGAAGGTTGAGGTAAAAGGCCGTGGTACGGTATGCTTCCTGCAAAAGGACAGGTTGATTGGCTCAATCCGAGATGTGTACTATGTACCCGACCTAAAAAGCAATATTTTAAGCATGGGTCAATTGATGGAGAAAGGTTACTCGGTTAAGATGAAGGACCGAGTATTGTATTTGAAAGATGAGAGAGGTCGGCTGATAGTCCGAGTTGAAATGGGCAGAAATCGAATGTACAAACTGAACTTGAGATGTGTACAGGTTGACTGTTTACAAGCCGAGGTGGAAGACAAGGCGTCACTTTGGCACCTCCGCTTTGGTCACCTACATTATGGTGGTCTAATCGAGCTGGCAAAGAAGAAGATGGTTGACGGACTGCCTGACATCAACTATGAAGGAAAGTTTTGTGAGAGTTGTGTACTTAGCAAGCATGCTAGGACCACGTTTCAAAAGATGGCGAGATTTCGGGCCAAGCAGCCTCTGGAGTTGATTCATACTGATCTGTGTGGTCCAATCACCCCAGAATCCTTTAGCGGTAAGAAATATTTCATTTCTTTCATTGATGATTTCTCACGAAAAACTTGGGTTTATTTCCTGAAGGAGAAGTCCGAGGTGTTTGAAGTATTCAAAAAGTTTAAAGTAATGATTGAGAAGGCAACAGGAAAATTCATCAAGTCAGTGCGTTCTGACCGAGGTGGGGAATATACCTCGACAGCATTTCTGACATTCTGTGAGGAACATGGGATAAGAAGGTTTCTAACAGCACCATACTCACCACAACAAAACGGCGTTGCTGAAAGGAAGAACCGAACTGTTCTTGACATGGTTCGGTCAATGCTGAAGAACAAGAATATGCCGAAGGAGTTTTGGGCGGAAGCTGTGCAGTGTGTTGTGTATGAGCAGAATCGATGTCCACATTCGAGTTTAGAGGACAAAACACCACAGGAAGCTTGGAGCGGTCAAAAGCCGTCAGTGGCTCATCTCAGAGTATTCGGTAGTGTGGCCTTTGCACACGTACCAGACCAGCTCAGAACTAAGCTCGAGGACAAAAGCAGGAAATATGTTTTTATGGGATATGATGAAAAAACAAAGGGGTATAAGCTGTTTGACCCTGTCAACAAGAAGGTCGTAGTGAGCCGAGATGTAAGGTTCAATGAAGCAGATGAGTGGGACTGGAGCAATTCACCCGAGGTGAATTTTGAAGGCGGGATCTCAACACAAGTTATCAACCCGGCAAGTCCTGAAGCTTCTGATGATGAAGACGAGGTACGACAACCCAGGATGCGGAGCATACAAGACATATATGAGTCAACAAGTGAGGTACATTTTGTTTGTCTTCTTGCAGATTCTGAAAATATAAGCTTTGAAGAAGCCATCCGAGATAACAAATGGCAAGACGCCATGGATGAGGAGATAGAAGCCATTGATCGAAATAACACGTGGGAGTTAGCCGAGCTACCTGGAGGGAGTTAGCCCATTGGGGTAAAGTGGGTATTCAAGAAGAAAATGAATGCTCAAGGGGAGATAGAACGATATAAAGCTCGGCTAGTTGCAAAGGGTTACAAGCAAAGGGCAGGAATTGATTATGACGAGGTATTTGCTCCCGTCGCAAGGATGGAGACAATTAGGCTATTGATTTCACAAGCAGCTCAACATATGTGACAGATATTTCAAATGGATGTCAAGTCGGCATTCTTGAATGGAGTACTTGAAGAAGAAGTCTATCTCGAACAGCCACCGGGATACATGAAAGGTGGAGAAGAGAAGAAAGTGCTGAGGTTGAAGAAGGCACTTTAGGGTTGAAGCAGGCACCACGGGCGTGGAATACTCGTATTGACACTTATTTCAAGGAAAATCGTTTTGAGCAATGCCCCTATGAACATGCACTTTATATAAAGAAAATTGGAGATGATGTTTTGTTTGTGGCTCTTTATGTGGATGACCTCATCTTTATGGGGAACAATGATGGAATGATACAAGAACTCAAAAGAACAATGACAAGGGAGTTTGAGATGACAGATCTCGGTCTGATGAGATATTTTCTTGGTCTGGAAGTCAGACAAGACAACTTGGGTATTTTTGTCTCTCAGGAGGCATATGCAAAGGAGATTCTCAAAAGATTTAAGATGACAGATTGCAACCCGGTTTCAACCCCTATGGAACCCGGTTCAAAACTCTCAAAGTATGATGGTGGAGATCGAGTTGACGCAAGCAACTACCGAAGTTTGGTAGGATGTCTTCGTTATCTGACATGCACAAGACCGGATCTCTCACTGAGTGTGGGGATTGTAAGTCGGTTCATGGAGGAGCCGAGTTATTCACACTGGAAGGCGGCAAAAAGAATCTTGAGGTATATACAAGGGACAGCTTCATTGGGACTTCACTACTCGAGGTCCGAAAATTATAAGTTAATTGGGTACACTGATGAAGTGACTGGTGTGGAGATGTAGACGATCGGAAAAGTACGTCGGGGTATGTATTCTTCATGGGCAACACGGCATTCACTTGGATCTCGAAGAAACAACCCATTGTGACTTTGTCGACCTGTGAAGCTGAATATGTAGCTGCGTCTTGGTGTGTTTGTCACGCAGTATGGCTCAGGAACTTACTAAGCAAGCTGGAGGAGAAACAAGTCGGCCCAATCGAGATCCGTATTGATAACAAGTCGGCTATAGAGTTAGCCAAGAACCCGGTGAATCATGAAAGAAGCAAGCATATTGACGTCCGTTTTCACTTCATCCGGGATCAAGTAAAGGAAGGAAATGTGGAGTTATTACACGTGGCAAGTCAAGACCAAGTCGGAGATATTTTCACAAAACCACTGTCGACGTTACTACTGGAAAACTGCAAAAGAATGATTGGCATGAAAGATGGCAGAAGCATTTAAGTTTACGAGGGAGTTTTGTTAAGAATAAACGTTAAATGTCAGTTTAGTTTTTAATGGGTTTAATTAAGCAGTCAGTTTAATTTTTAATGGTTTTAAATTTGTCAGTTATGGATAGTTTATGAGTCATAAGTTTAGCATTTAATTTTAGGAGTTTTGAAAGTTAAGAGTCAGTCGTTATGTTTTGTTATTAAGTTTGGTTTTAATTGTGGTTTATGGCTATTTAGTGTTGCAGTTTTAGAAAGGCAAACTATAGCCTATAAATAGTCTAGTATATTGTTTGAGAAATACAGAATTGAGAAGCAACGAAGTTTAGTAAAATATTTCACAGAAGTTTGTTCTCTTTCTCCACAAGTCCTCACGACATTCTTGAATAGTTGTTTTATTGGTTGATTTTGTATTTGAGCGATCCTACAGTTCATAGGTAAGTGGGTTGAAATTCAATTATAATACCATATCTTTGAGATCATAGTGTACGTTTCAACGAGCACCTGTTTGAGCATCTCATAGGTTTCCCATGGATAGTATATGCTGGTGGTGACCATATACTACTATTATTTTATTTGATAGGTTATTCTATCTACCTTTTTTTCATGCCTACTTATCTACCATTTTCCAACGCATTAGATCAAAATTTCAACTAACCTTTATTATTTTTCTCTCTTCTTGAGATTCTAATCTAATGGTGTTGAAAGGTGATAGATAAGGTAGGTAGAATAATCTATTCCTTATTTTATAAATGATAAGTGCAACTTTAGTTTTTTTTTTTTTTAATTGGGAACTTCTCCATAGTTATTCGGTTTTCTAAACTTTATGGTATATTTTTCAGAGTCAGAAGAAAAATGAAGATTCTTCAGTAGCGGAGGAGAGAAAGGATACAACTGAGACAGAAAATGAGTCAGAGGAGGAAGAGAAAAAGGAAGAAAATGAGAAGGAAAATGAAAATGATGTTCCTGACAAATCTGAGGATGAAATGCCAGAGCAATCTGAAAGTGACGACAAAAGTGAATCTGATAATGAATCTGAAGATTTGAAGAAACCTAGAAAAATTAACAAAACATCATCAACAAAGAAAGAATCTGCTGCAAAAAGTACAATAAGGAAAATTACGTTCAAAACAAAAACTCGCTCGGCACCAAAGAGAATTTCTAAGAAATCATTGTCTACCCACTCAGAGTCTGATGATGATAGTGAGGGAAGTCCGAAGGTCTCTTCAAGGAGGAAGAAAAATGAAAAACGGGGAAAGCAGAAGACCTCGACTCTGACTAAGTCTTCCTCCAAAGAAAAAACAGGTAGATATCTGGAACTCCATTTGTGTTTTCATTATTCATCTAAAAATGTTATATTTGCATACCTTTTTAGTGCCCTAGTGATGAGTTTAAAAAAAAAAAAAAAAAATTGCTTAAAGCTAACCTTAAAATCTTAGAAGTCAGTATGTTTACTTTTTCCCATAGGGTTTAACATAACATCTTCATATTATGTATTTCATGAAACATCTTTCTGTGTGTATTAAGCAGAAAAGGCTGCTAAGGGAAAGGGCAAGAACAAGTTGAACCCCAGTGATGACAAGTTACGTGATACAATATGTGAAATTCTTAAAGAAGTTGACTTCAATACGGTAAGAAGTTGCATTATTTTTTGAAGGCTGTATGATTCCTTCACCAGATTATAAGTAAAAAATCACTTCCCAATTAAATCCAACTAGTGAGTGTGGGGTGATACAATCCTTGTACGCAGTCTTACCCTTGCAAATAATTACAAAGAGGTTGTTTCTCAGATTTGAACCCGTGACCTTTCAGTCACAAAGGAATAGCTTTACCACCTTCACCAGATTATAAGTACTATCTAATATTGCAATACGCGTTGCTGTTACTATATTGGCCAGCTTGTGGCCATGAAAATGGTAGTGTCAAATTGGTATCTGATATATGCTGAAGGTTTTATGTTGTTCAAAACTAAAACTTTTTTTCTCTTTTGCAGGCTACATTTACTGACATTCTGAAGCAACTTGGTATGTACCATTCGTTTTTACCATTTTTCTGTTTTCATTTTAATAATAATACCTTTTTCAGTTGCAACTATCAGATTACAGATGGTGTGACTTTTATGGCTTTAAGAGCCGAATCTACTGTGTTTGTGACTGAGAATTTTGGCTGATGATAATTATTTTGGTGGAACCTGTACTACATCATTCACTGAAGCTCTTTACTGATCTAGGATATTAATGTTAAGGATCTACAGTTTTAGAGTCCCACCATTCTCAAATATGAACAACATTGGAGATAAAAGGAATTTAATAATTCGTGAAAATAAAAATAAGAATTCAACTTAAATTTAGGTGCCTAACAAATTGCTGACAAATTTTCAGATAAGAAATTCAACATAGATCTCACCCCAAGGAAGGCATCTATAAAGGTAATTATTCAGGAAGAGCTGACAAAACTAGCTGAAGCAGATGAAGATGAAGAAGGGGATGCTGAGAATGATGAGACCCAATCTACTGGCCAAGAGGTTGAAGCCTAGATGTGACCGCTTGGAGACAGGTTTAGCAATGTAGACTTTGACCCCAGTTAATACGTCGTATGTACACTTGGCAGAGTTAAAATGGCTGTAACTTATTCTTAGCATCCATCCAATCTCTGAGACCACAAACCAGGATTTGCAAAATTCAGTGGAGGGCCTTGGAGGCTTTTGTTGTGCTCCTAGTCTGCAGTTTCTTGCGTACACATGAACAGAACTTGTAGGATTATATTGTCTAAATATAACTGACCAATAGTAGTTTCAACAATCTGCCTAGTTTAATAAATTATTGACGTAAGTTGTAATTGATTGCATGTAACGGTACTGCGTGGTCAAGTCTTTACCTTCTTAATCTTCAGATTTTGTTGTTGTATAATTTTATATGTAATGGCCACTGCATTTGTATATATCTGTATCATGTGTTACGAAATGACTTGTTCACCAGCTGTACCATGCCATTGAGCTGAACCTCATGCCGTCTTGTATCTTTCAGTCTGCTCTAATTCTTCCATAGTATATGCTATTTCGCATTTCGAAAGCCATCCCTTTCTTTTGTTAGTTTTAATCCTTGGACAAGTGTGTCTTCTTACATTTGCTATGATGAAATTAAATTCGTAAATAGTATTGTTTATAAATCGGAAAATAAAAATGAATTTGAATTTATACACCTTGTATATGAATATAAAATATCAAGTTCTATTGATATAAAAAGATTAAATGTGGTAATATGCGTATCTTATTATCTTCATAATCAAAGGAAATATTTGAATTTAATGTTAGGATCTTCTTTTTTATAATTTATTTCAAAACTACGGTTTTCTTGCAATGGAAGTATGATGACTTATAGGATTTAATCCTAATATAAATAAGTTAAAAAAGAACCAATGTATATATTGTGTTGTCCAATTATGCACAATATTGATAAATGTGAAAAGTCTAATTTATTATGATCACAATGAATTCATCATACTAGTTAGATTAGATTGCCAACATATTAGAAAGTTTCCTAGATGCTGAATCAATGTCCAATCTGAACAAAGTTTTTGTTAACTTTTAGAGCACATACTTTGTATCTAAGACTAAGGGGAACAAGTCAAAAATATTCTTAGCCGGATGCGCTCCTCACTCAGACTAGTGGAGCACCAAGAAAATCTCCCGTCATGATAGCCCCTAAACTGACCACGATTTAGATCAATATTTAAGGTGTGATTATTTGAGAACGTGTAGTTATAATCATATTTATTTTGTGTCTAGTTGGTATGGTGACAATCTGACATGATTGCCAAAAGGGTGATTTAGCCGACAAGTAATATTTACATATAGGGATTAGTTTAGTATGGGTGTCCAAATAGGATAAAAATTTAGAATCATTTTTCAATATAATTTTACTAATAAAATTAATGTATGAATCTTTCAGTTTCGTTTGTACTCCTGTACTAAATCTATAAGGTTTAAGTTGTTTAGTATTTAAACTACTTTATAGTAACTCTTTAAAAAAATGTAGTTAAAAGTAATTTTAAATTCATTAATTCCTAATTTTCCTATGGTAAAACATTGATTTTTTTTTTTTTTTTTTACTATTACTAAAAAATTTGCGTAAAAAACAGAAGAGTGCGAACAAAAGAAAAGAAAAGAAACAGACGGAAAAGGACATCGCAGCAAGAATATGTATGGGTCGGTTACCCACTTAGCAAATGTTTAATAGTGGAGGCCTACATGCAAAGTCACTATGTCTGTGACCACTGACTATAACTAGTGCTTACCCTTTTGTTTGCTTTAAAGGTCTATATGTCTCCAAATGATTAAATTATTGTACATGTGTGTTATCACTCATACAAAATTCAATACTCTGCACTCTCATAGAAGATTCTTAATACCACTAGATATCTTAACACGCCTGAAAGCTAAATGACCAGTGGTTAATATCTCTTTGGATATATCAGGCCATACGGATATTTTTTTTCTTCATTGTTAATTCAATTTATGGGCCAATTGTTGATTCTTTTTGTGGTACGAGGTTGTCATTTAATGGTATCTACCTTAAAAATTAGTAGAAAACAATTTTATTTTATTTTTTTGTTATCAAGAGATAAACAAATTGGTAGGCTAAGTTTTGTCACATGAAAGGAAAGTCATGAAATAGTTGCATTTTAAAAATGTTTCCTATAAGTTAGTAGTTGTTAGACTGCAATGGAAGGACAAACAAAACATTTGTTTGTTTCAGGAATCGTTTAATATAAGCTTTATAGTATTGTTTGATCGAGTAGGATTTTGTTAAGGTCTTGAAAGTAATTCATTAAAATAAAGCTGATGAGAAGCTATATATGGTTTAAAGTTTAAACTGATGACAACATTTTCTGTCCGACTCATACAATCATGTAAGATAAACAAAGCAGCCCCACAAGACGAGCTCAGTCAAATAAAAAACAAGAATAGTGCGACGTATATTATTATTCTCTGCTTCTAAACTATCGCTCCGATTCAAATTTATCAGTTTTCTCAATGTAGGGTCGTTCATGTCAAATTGATACCGTTGTACATATTGACTTCACGCGGTATTTTCAGTACTGTAACGATATGTATAATATTTAGGAGGGAAAATAGGTTAGGTTGGTCTACATAGCCTACGGCTTAGCTTCTATTAGATTAGGTTTTTCACTATTACATATAGTGAAGTAGAATAGGTTTGAACTTTTAAAATAGTCTATTTAAAAAAGCAGGTCATAGGCTATTTTTTAAATTTCGGACCTATAAACTTACAAGTCGGCATATATCATATTATTTATTTTAAATTAAATAAAATAATATTATTCATAATAATATCAAATAGTGATAATTCAGTTGATGTATGTGAGCTGAGTAGGTGATGGAAGGATCTAGGTTTGATCCCCCACCGATACTACCTTTGAGAGTGTTATAAGATTTGTACCAATCTCTACAGTACCATCAGAATCAATATTTAGTGCTAGAGGAAGAGTTATTGATGCCTATCGTTCTAGCTTGGCTAAAGATACCATCCAAGCTTTAATATATGGTGGAGATTGACTACGTAATAAATATGGTTTGAAGAAAAAATAAAAGGTGTAAAAATGTTTTTTGTTTAATCTTTTTCTTTATTCTTTAATCATTTTTTTTCTACATTTACAAATTATTTGTCAACTTATGTAACCTTGGAATTGTATTTGCAGGGGAGAGAAGATGATCATAAATTTTTGGCTAATACAAGCATCATGATGCATTTGTTGGATTCATGATTTGTTGGATATGATGAAATATATGTTATTTAGTTTGGACATCTTGTTTCTTAAAGTGACTTAAATGCATATTATGATAAGTTGTTGTTGTGATTCATGGTTTTGTTTGAATGTTGAAATTATGGTTTCTGTTTTAACAACAAAATTTGAGTATTTTATAAAGTTGATTCATGTTCTGCTTAGAAGTTAAAAATTAATAGGCTAATAGAGCAGGTCAGGCTATTTATTTTTTATAAATGGAGCAGGTCAGACTAGCAGTTAGACTTGTACTATGTTATTAAGTCATGTCAAATTGAAATTTTTTTGGCATAAGTTTGGACTTTTCAGGATAAAACTTGGCACAGCTAAACTCAGTTTCACCCCTAATGATATTGATAAAATTCTTTCTTTCCCTTCTTAAAAAACATAGGTTCTTGATACACACGTATAGCGTTCTCTGTATATATAATTACATATATATAAAGTGTTTAATATTTTTTATGTTATACGAAATAAATTTATCTCCAATACACATATAAAAATATAAGAGGTTCACGCGAACCTATATGAGGAGAAGAGAAAGAAAAAAAAAACACGGAGTTTAACATATTTTTATGGATAATGTTTTCCTCCTTTCATATGACACAACCAATTTTTCTACCTACACATAAAAGTGGACCCATCAATTCTTTTATTTTTCTTTTATTTTAAAAATAATGGCCCTCACAATTGATTGTCTCTATGACATGACTTAAGAATTTTCCTAGAACATAATACTTGTTTTTTCCTATTTTTATATGTGCATAGGAGATAAATTAATTTCCTATGTTAGGAGAAGTAATAAATTCATATATAAAATGGAGCGATCAAATTGTCATATCAGTGTAGGAATTTTTATACCCATTAAAAAATAACCATTACCCATTAAATTTGACTTACCAATACTTATATTGATTATTAATCGTTATAAATGTATTTAATTATCACATATATTATTTATTTTTAGATAAAAAATTTAATTATAGAAATACAAGCTAATATATAAAGTCAAAAAGAAAAAATCATCAACTTTGTTAAGGATTTATATGGAAGACATTTGGGCACTGCCACACTGTCTTCCACATCTCCTTGTGTGCCCCAAAACCTTCAACCACACCCTGACGTCACGAGCCCAACCCAACAGTTATATTAGAAATGGTTAAAGAATAATTGTAATTTGCGGCTAGGAATTACATATATAACACGAATTCAACACGTAAATACAGTAAATTAAAATTATAAAATGTGATATAATTAACATATAATGCATAAAATTTATGAAATAATATAAAAATACAAACCTTAAATTAGAACACATATTAATATTTCAGTAGTTAACACTAGTTATTATATATAATGAAAATATTAAATTATCAAGTTTTTATGATATTTCATTTATACAAATAAAAACTCAAAAATAAATAAATAAAACGATTCGGCTATAAGTGTTTAAAGGTATTTGAGAAGTGTCAGACGTGTTGAACGTCAATATATTTTAAAGTGTAGTGCTTTGTGGTTGTACAGTAAACTTCCAATAAAGTACGTAGTACCAATATCATTTATATCTTAATAGATTTTTTATTTTTATTTTTAGTACATCTTAATAGATTTTTCAGGTAATCTTATTAAGTAAGGTTTTGTATCTATTTCTTTTTTTAACAAATTTTCAGAAATTTCAATAGAATCTCAATTATTAAATACTTATATAACGAAGAAAATAAATACAAAAGTTACATATAACAAAGTCACATAAAATACATTTCGATATGTCACATACGTTTTACCCTGAAGATCAAATTTGCTTGAAAAGGAAGAAATGTAACAGTGACCATTCAATATTCGTCATCCTTAGCTCTGCAATTAATAATTCACACATGCACTTGTTGCATCTTAAAAGAAAACGGCATTCCAATCGAAGGATCCCATGCATAGAGTCAGAGGCGGATTTAGGTTAATAACAAGGATAAGTGTTCACTCTTAAATTATGATGCAAAAATATAAAAATATTCTTCTATTAAAATTTAAGTTTTTTCAATTTAATTTCGGGATAGGATATTATAAATTTATAACAATCAATTAAGGTTACTACCAATCAATTTCACGATTAGATTGATTATGTTGATCCAACGGTTATATTTATTTTCATCTTTGGGAAAAAGTTATGATTTTTCATATTTAATATTTTATATATTTGTTTTACCTTTGTATGATTATGATTTTTCATATTTAATACTTTTACATTTAATATGGGGATCATAATCATACAAAGGTAAAAATAAATATAACCGTTGAATCAACCTAATCAATCTAACGGTAAAATTGATTGGTAGTAACACTAGTTGCTTGTTACGATAGCTTACCCCTTTAATTTTTTTTCTTTCTATTTTATTTTTTCGTGAGTTTTTTTTTTCCTCCACCTTCATTATCGAAACCTAACAACAGATAACTCTATTTCAGACTCGTCATTTGCATCTACATACTGATTCATCTCCTCTCAAACCTCAATCTTCGTTATTGGAAGTTGGAACATTTGTTTCTTCCTCTATCATTGGTCCAGTTGAGTCGCAATCCATCTAGATCTAGATCTAAACCAGACTTAGCCAGTCGGCAGCTGTTCGCAAGTCGCGTTTTAGATCAGATCCAAATCTATATGTACTTAAACTTATTGAGGCCCACCATTCATTAATTTCTTCCGTAGAGTGCCATTGCCAACACCGACACATCTAATCAGAACTTTTTTAGTACAAAGCCCTTGCTTTAAGATTCATAATCTAAAGGATGGAAAGGTTCAGACAGAGGATTCTCAACAAAATCGAGACCAACAAAAAGGTAAGATTTTGATTTGAAGTAATGGACAGCTTGTAGCGATTGAAAATTCCGAGTGATAAAAACTCAAAAACTCTTAACTTTTTTTTGGAGTACCCAATTTTTCTTGGTTTTTTAATCAACTATCTTGATATAATTGCATTTGAGTGGAATTATATTGTGAGTTCTTATACTCGCAGATTAGGCTAAAGCTGTTGTTGATTTGCCAGAGAACAAGGCCAAGATATTTCCACGTGTAAAGCCCCTTGCGGTGTGTCTTAAACTCGAATAAAAATTCTACTCAATGATCGTAAGATTGCCTATGTTTATGGTTCTACTGTTGGCAAATAATTAATGGTCAATTAAGAGCACAGGTTAACTGTTACGTATATAAAATATTGCGACAGAAAAGTAAACATTAAAAAAAAAATAAGATGACAAATGAATGAATTAAAAAATATATATTAAAGTAGTACATAATAAAAAATTGACAAAATCTTAACTAAGATAATTTTATTACGTGAGTTACAGATCAATAAAGGTTTCAGTATATAAAAATTGGTAATATGGACACAGTTCAACAAAAAAAAAAAGTAGAGGTAAACTTTGGAAAATTAATAAAAATTATTAAACAAAAGACCTTGCTCTCAATGACCTTTTGAAAAACTTGACTTTTAATTAAACTTAATTACCTCATTTATCCATGTAATTAATCCTGCATAATTAAAAAAAATGAAGTTTAGTTGTTTATGTTATTCTCTCTCTCTCTCTCTATATATATATATATATATATATATATATATATAAGTCGATTTATGTTAACAATAATATGTCTATTTTTTTAAAAAATAAATATCTCTTATGTGAGATTCTATTTGGGATACTGCATTACTGCTACTACCTCTTTTGCAATGCATATTTGCTGGTTCGAACTTATTCCCTCATTGCCCTTCAACTACTTATCTCAACTGACTAACAACAAATAAGAATGAAATAGGAGAGGGCGATTATAGAGTCCAAGTAGGACTAGACCAACTGGCAGATACCAAAGCAACGGTCCAGATCATTAATCCGTCATCCAATCCGATGGCTTGAAACCCGTCCGTACAGACACACACTTATCGACTAACAACGGTTCACAACATTCCACGTGTCCACCAGATAAAGCCTTATTAACACTCCTGATCCAACGGACCCTGCACATTCCCATTTCCCTTACCCTTTCCACCTCCCTCCTCTCGCCACTCCTCGCCGGCGGGAGACCTCCGCCGCCGATCGCCGGCTGTCCATCTCCCACCCTGTCCACCTCCATCATCAGCTTTAATTCGTCGATATTTCTCCTTCAAGTCAACGCTACGCTACGCAACGCAGATTCTTCAATTGAAATCCCTCGTTCCAAATATGAATGCTTCGAACTTCGATGAAATAGCGAAAGTGAGGGATTTCAATTGAACGAGTGAATTTGTGAGATTTGTAAGGATATTGAGTTGAGCGAGTGAGTGAGTTGGATGGCGGACTCGGACAACGACTCAGGAGGGACACACAACGCAGGGAACAATGCGAACAGCAACGAGTTATCGCCTCGGGAGCAAGACAGGTTCTTACCGATAGCGAACGTGAGCAGGATCATGAAGAAGGCTTTGCCGGCGAACGCGAAGATCTCGAAGGACGCCAAGGAGACGGTGCAGGAATGCGTGTCGGAGTTCATAAGCTTCATCACCGGCGAGGCCTCCGATAAGTGCCAGAGGGAGAAGCGCAAGACCATCAATGGCGACGACTTGCTCTGGGCCATGACCACCTTGGGCTTCGAGGAGTACGTGGATCCACTCAAGATATACCTTCAGCGATTCAGGGAGATGGAAGGGGAGAAGACCGTCGCCGCGCGTGATAAGGAGGTCGGCGGTGCTTCTTCCGCCGCCGTTAACAGTGGGTACGAGTATGGAGGTGGAGGTTCAATGGGGATGATGGTGCATCAGGGACACGTGTACGGTTCCGGTGGGTTTCATCAAGTGGCTGTCACTGGTAATAGTGCTGGTCCTGTTATGGGTAAGGGTGGGCCCAGTTATCCTGGTGCTGGATCTAATGCAGGTAGACCCAGATAGATAGATGTGGTCTGCACAAAAAGTTTTAATTTTAATTTTTAATTCTAAATCATAAAATGCAAGACTAATAGTTAATTTGGGGGCACTAGGTAATTAGACCGAAAAAATAAATATGAATTCTAATATTAATGGTGATTGGCAGGCACTCTCTTCAGAAGCCAAAATTGGGTTAGTATTTGAAACTGTTGTGTGATAGAAATAGTGCTTCTTTCCTTTTTGTACAATATGTATTATTTACGTCCAAATTGTCAAATATTTATTTTTCTTGCCTGGTGTATATTGATATGGGTTAATTATTTACTGAGGACGGTGAAGGGAGTAAAGATAGGATCAGGAACTTGGGAGCATTTTCTGCAATTTGAAAGCTGAATATCAATGATGATGCATTAAGTTAGCTATTTTAATCATAAAATATAAGGTAAATATTAGTCTCATGTTATATGAGAATAGTTCTCTCATGTTATAGAGAGAATCCAGGTGGGGTCCACAATTAAAAAGCAAAAAAGAAAAAGAAAAAAAAGGAGGTGTGATTTTTGAACTGAGAGAAAATGAGATAACTATTTCATATAAAATAAGAGTAATATTTTGTAAAATATAAAGTTATTATTTGGAATCACAGGAATAATAAAGCAACAACCTAATGCTATGTTATGTGATTAAACAGATGAAGAATGTGGGATAAGAACTTCTAACAATATGAATAGAGGTTTGGGCAGGATGACTACTGCATTCGGGGAAGAGGAAAGACCAGCAATATTAAAGGACCATTAGGTTTAGTTTGCTCATTGATGCAGGAGTTTTCTAGAGAACATGCTCAAATTTTGCTTCCTAAAAGGGCATTTTAATTTGGGAAAAAAGTTTATAAAGTTATTTTATATAACCTTCTTTGCGGCACGCAATTTTAATTATGTCTTATTAGTAAGATATAGTTATAATGATAAAATTATTTTTTCTCTTTCTGTCACAAAGCGACAATGTTTGAGGAGAGGAAATTTTTTTTTATTATTATTATAATTATATCTTATTGATATGAGATAATTATAATAATAATATTATTGTATCAACCCCCTTTCTTTGAACATAGATAACCCAATCATGGAAAAAATATACTTGTCATCGCATCCGTCATAAATCAATCGACAAAATCCGTCACCATGGATTATCAGTTATCACTGTTATTTCTATATGCAAGTTTTATTAATGCTAATGCTGGAAGTGAATATACAAGCTCTCAATGCCAAAGGTCAAAATGTAGGAAATTGTAGGATATGTCTCCTTTATATGTTTCGGTACTTGGATATTAAAGACACTGGCCAGTGCATGTAATCCATTAGAGAAACTATCATAGTCAAGAGAATAAATAATTGATTGAGTTACAGAAAACTTGTCAATCAATTATAGACATTCTACAAAGGGGCGATGCATATTCATGTTATAAAGGTCATTAATCTTGGAGTTCACGTTCGGGCTTTTAGTGGAGTAGCGCCGAATTAGATAATTTTTCAAAGATTATCAGGAGCCTTGATGAGTGATAAATGGTAGATCCCCAGGCTAGCTCGAGACAAGGGATGGGTTGTATAATCAGATGATGATGGCTTATGGGCTACATAGTCTTGGGTTTATGAACTCAAGTTTGTGTCCAAAAGAGCAAGTGAAAGATTGTTGGGTTTAATATGCTCTTTTCACTTAAGCCCAATAGCTTTAGTGAGAGTGAGCCCAAAAAGACTAATTTCAACCCATGAAGCTTAGGGTTAGTCTTGGAGTATAAAAACTCTTTTTTCTCTCTAGTGCCTCCTAGGGGTTTACAGACATCAGAAACACAAAGAGTCAGACGTTCATCATCTGAACGGTTGCCCACACGACCACCTAATCCCCCTTGAGTCATTCATAGCCTGGAAGATCAACCGTAGAGCGGAATTGCGACCGTTCGTGGTGCGTTGCTGCAGATCGTGAGGCTTGAAGATGAGAACAGAACGTGAGAAATTGTCACGCTCGCTGCTTCATCTCAGGTAATCAAAGCGGTGTTCTTCATTCCTCATCACATCGGTACGATGCGCTTCCGCGTTTCTGATGATATACCTTCAAAGGCGGCTTGGCTTCTGAGTGGCCAGCCTTGGGCTGCAGGTCAGTCAGGGGACCTGAGTAGCCTTATCTTTCATAGTGTCTAGTAGTAGAGTTGTGGCAAGCTGGAGCTGTCCGTTGTTTACTGGAGTTAAGGCGCGGTGGAGTTGCCTTGGGCCTTAAGTTTACTTCCTATAGAAGGTTTCATACGCGATGTGGGTATCGTGTATTGTGTGACGCGATGAGGGCATCGCGTCTGTGCTTGTTCTTTGCACTTTGCTCTGGTCTTCAGTGGGCCTGGGCTTCCTTATATGTTTTCGGGCCCTGGTTGGGCTTATATTTTATCCGGATCAGTTACTAAGAGTAAAGAGTCAACCTATTTGAAATCAAAACAAAAAACTATAAGTTCCATCACATTTTGTGAGAATTCAGAATATGAACTATTACATTTCGATTAATTTTAAAAATAAGAATTGATTTTCAAAGAAGATTATTTATTTATTTTTTAAAATTTTGATGATTTAAAACAAAATCATAAAATATTTTGTGTGTTATGTCTCTCTCTGTGTGTTATCTCTCTCTCTGTCTCTCTATGTGTGGCACGATCATTTGACACCAGTGTCAAATTTTAAAATTTGATATCAAATCGTAATCGTTAATTTTCGTTAATCAACGGTTATCGTTCACTATGAATCAAAAGTGACTCAAAAACTATAGACACGTGGTGAGTGAGCCTGTGAGTCGCATCTTGTTACTCACTTACGAACATGGTTAGACAGAGATTGGACTATGAAGGTAAAACACATATACAGAAAAGGAAATTATTGTGCAGAATCTTCCATTGGTTAATTCGGCACGGGAAGATTTCTTCTCTTTCTTGATCCCCTTGTATATACTTTATGTATTTAGCTTATTTAGATGACTTTGGTAGGACTCCTTGCATTTCTTCTCTTTAGCTTGCTTGGGGCTTTATCCCCAAGATAAAAAAAAAAAACATTACTCTATAGGAACAAACATTGCAAGACAAAGATAAGTCAATTCCCTAATTATTTAGAATTATTTTAAAGAATAGGAATTAATTTTCAATTTTAAGAATAAAAAAATATCATTAGATTCCTATCTAAAGTTTCCAATAAAATAAAAATTGTTGAGAATCCATCTCATTTCATTTCAAGTATAATGATTCTACCAAATAAATAAATAAATATTTCACGTCATGATTATAAATAGAAAAAAAAGACTAATTTGGCTGCAATCTAAAATAATTATAATGGATGATATGGGATGATTTGATATTGGTATCAAATTAAAAAAAATTTGATATCCTATCTGAATTGTTAATTTCGGCTAATTTCACAATTATAATTTATTAAAAATTAAAAATTAATTAATAAATATAATTCAATAAATTATAACAATTAAATTCTAACTTTTGGTATCAAACTAGACAATTATTATCCTTTAAAATGATAAAAATTAATATATATATATTTATATAACAAGAATAAAATATTGGTGGTCGACCCTATTTTTAGTAGATATTTCTCATTTTCCTTAAGTTGAGGAGTAGAATAAATTTAATTAGGTTTTAGGTGAGTTTTTTTTTTCAACAATAAAAATTTATTAAGTGAAACAACTAAACCGATAACACAAATCTCTAAACTTTCGTACCCGTTAAATTAGATTATGAAAATAATATAGGCAAAAGTTTACCAATGTGCTTGTGGTTTATCTCAGAATCACCTATGTCCCTTTTTATTTATCACATATGTTCCCTGTAGTTTATAAAAAATAAAAAATCACAAAGGTATATATGATAAAAAAAATCACAAGGACATAGTTAATTCTTGAGTAAACCACAAAGATATTGATGAACTTTTTCCAATAATATAAGTATTGGAAAAAAAAAACTAAAACGGAAATATAGATTTTAAATTTTTATTATTCACTAAATAGGTTAGAAAATCTCGTCAATAAAAAAAACCTAATAGTTTCAATCGATTCATTATCTCCTATTTAATTTGAGCAAAACAATACAATCCATCACATAAAAAAATAATGATTTTTGTATTATTTTAGGGGTTTACTAATATTATGTTACATAAGATAATACTCTCATGTGGGTGATACAAATATATAGGGTCCACAATTTAAAAAAAAAAGAAAGAAAGGAAAAAATTGGCATAAAATTCTATAGTTGTATGACATGAGATAGATATCTTATGCAGCATGACACTATCATTTCCCATTATTTTATCAGTTAATTATCAAATAACTATCAACATAAAATTTAAAAAGGGCTTTATACCTCTGCTGTGAATGCAGAGTATCAGATTTTGCAGTAGAGAGAAATAAACATAGGACCCACCATATCTTTTGAAAAATAAAAATAAAATTAATATGGCATAAATTATGACGAGTCTATGACTGTAAAAAAAAACTTCTTCTTATGTGTCAGAAGAAGTGTTTTACCCATTTAAAATTGCATCAAATGCAATCACAGAGTACCACTAAACATAAAATAATATTACTCCAAACAATAAAATATTTTAAAAGATAACACCCAAAATATTATATAATACCAAAATTTTATCAAACTTTAAATAATCGAGTCGATTTGCTTAGATAGCCATAGCGAACAGGAGTTGCAGACTGCACAAAATAACTGGAGCCCCATATTTGAAGCCTGCACCCGAATCGTCACTAGCCTGATCCGGTGAAATCTCCGGCGATGAACTCACCGGCGCCCTACCCTTTGATGGAAGTGTCGTTGGTGAGCCTGCCGGTGTTGCCGAAGTTGAAGGAATACTCTGAGGAGCCTGTGCAGGAGCAGCTGAACTGGAAGGCCCCTTTGCCGCCGCCGGCGAACCCGCCACTGGACTTCTCACTGGTGTCGCCGCGGGGGATGGAACAGACCCGTATGGAGATACAGCCGGAGTAGCCGAAGGCGGTGATAAAGATGGAGACTTTACAGGAAGTGGTTGAAGACTCACATGAGATGGTGATTGATTTGAGAGAAGGAGCGGGTGCATTGTCTGGTTGTGCTATAACCAAAACTGAAGAAGCCACAAAGAGTGCAAGCACAGAAAGTACCGACAACCTAATCATCATCTCTGAATCTTTCGAGGATGGAAGGGGTTGTTTGTGCTATTCAATCAAATTCTTTAAATAAGAGCTAAAAGTTTACAGCACAAACAACCCCTTCCATCCTCGAAAGATTCAGAGATGATGATTAGGTTGTCGGTACTTTCTGTGCTTGCACTCTTTGTGGCTTCTTCGGTTTTGGTTATAGCACAACCAGACAATGCACCCGCTCCTTCTCTCAAATCAATCACCATCTCCTGTGAGTCTTGAAACACTTCCTGTAAAGTCTCCATCTTTATCACCGCCTTCGGCTACTCCGGTTGTATCTCCATACGGGTCTGTTCCATCCCCGGCGGCGACACCAGTGAGCAGTCCAGTGGCGGGTTCGCCGGCGGCGGCAAAGGGGCCTTCCAGTTCAGCTGCTCCTGCACAGGCTCCTCAGAGTATTCCTTCAACTTCGGCAACACCGGCAGGCTCACCAACGACACTTCCATCAAAGGGTAGGGCGCCGGTGAGTTCATCGCCGGAGATTTCACCGGATCAGGCTAGTGACGATTCGGGTGCAGGCTTCAAATATGAGGCTCCAGTTATTTTGTGCAGTCTGCAACTCCTGTTCGCTATGGCTATCTAAGCAAATCGACTCGATTATTTAAAGTTTGATAAAATTTTGGTATTATATAATATTTTGGGTGTTATCTTTTAAAATATTTTATTGTTTGGAGTAATATTATTTTATGTTTAGTGGTACTCTGTGATTGCATTTGATGCATTTTTAAATGGGTAAAACACTTCTTCTGACACATAAGAAGAAGTTTTTTTTACAGTCATAGACTCGTCATAATTTATGCCATATTAATTTTATTTTTATTTTTCAAAAGATATGGTGGGTCCTATGATTATTTCTCTCTACTGCAAAATCTGATACTCTGCATTCACAGCATAGGTATAAAGCCCTTTTTAAATTTTATGTTGATAGTTATTTGATAATTAACTGATAAAATAATGGGAAATGATAGTGTCATGCCGCATAAGATATCTATCTCATGTCATACAACTATAGAATTTTATGCCAATTTTTTCCTTTCTTTTTTTTTTTTTTTAAATTGTGGACCCTCTATATTTGTATCACCCACATGAGAGTATTATCTTATGTAACATGATATTAGTAAACCCCTAAAATAATACAAAAATCATTATTTCTTTTATGTGATGGATTGTATTGTTTTGCTCAAATTAAATAGGAGATAATGAATCGATTGAAACTATTAGGTTTTTTTATTGACGAGATTTTCTAACCTATTTAGTGAATAATAAAAATTTAAAAATCTATATTTCCGTTTTAGTTTTTTTTTCCAATACTTATATTATTGGAAAAAGTTCATTAATATCTTTGTGGTTTACTCAAGAATCAACTCTGTCTTTGTGATTTTTTTTATCATATATACCCTTGTAATTTTTTATTTTTTATAAACTTCAGGGAACATATGTGATAAATAAAAAGGGACATAGGTGATTCTGAGATAAACCACAAGCACATTGGTAAACTTTTGCCTATATTATTTTCATAATCTAATTTAACGGGTACGAAAGTTTAGAGATTTGTGTTATCGGTTTAGTTGTTTCACTTAATAAATTTTTATTGTTGAAAAAAAAAAACTCACCTAAAACCTAATTAAATTTATTCTACTCCTCAACTTAAGGAAAATGAGAAATATCTACTAAAAATAGGGTCGACCACCAATATATTATTCTTGTTATATAAATATTGATATTAATTTTTATCATTTTAAAGGATATATAATTGTCTCTTTTTAGGAGAAAGAAAAAGATATATAATGAAAATATGGGAGGAGTAAGTGAGAGATTTGTCTTAATTTAAATTTTAAATAAAAATACTACTTTTAACTAACATAACTATCCATTAAAATGACAAATATTTGTTTCCATAATTATACCATCTCTCTAATTTTTTTTAACTTTTTTCCTTATATATTAACTCTCTATATTATAACAAATTAACAATTAGAGTTACACGAATTAGGTGAAAAATCTTATATTTGAGGAAACGTTATTGAGTATATAAACATGGGAAATCTTCATTTTCTTGGCAAATTACAGTGAAAAATAATTTAGCAATATGTTTTCCAATTATCAGAAAAAAAAGATTTATCGATTTTGACAATTAATAGTCCATTAAAATAAAAATACCTTTTTACCAATTTTTTTCATATTCTTTTAATGGATTCTTCTAATTAAGTAATAAAAAATGTATCAATTTTATTTTTTGTACTCAATGACATTAAATACTTTAATGTTTTTATTTAATACATACTCTTATTTTCTCATTATGCTATATTCTCATAAATATCTGTGTATCCTCTTAATTACTTAAACTAAAACATTAAACGCTATTTGTAATGGGTAAGATATTGTAACAACTAATTAGTGTTACTATCAATATTACTGCCAACAAAGCACAGACATGTTATTTTTTTCAAAATGTGCGTGTCGGACACCGACACGCTCCGACACGTTCTGACATGCGGTCAACGCTCCGACATGTTTTGATACGTTTTTTCGACACGCAGTCAACTTTTTTCAACACGCGATCAACATTTCGACACGCATCCGACGTTTTTTATTTTTTTTTTACTTCCTAATTTTATTTTATTAACTAAAAAAAAAAATTATAAATTTACATGTAAAATTAACTAAGGTACGAATATTTTTTTTTTTATATTTTTTTTATGAAATTTGAATATTTGATTAGTTATACGACTTATTATAGGCTGTTACATGTATTAAATATAAATTATATTATATATATTAAAAATATAATTTAATATCAAAACGTGTCCCAACGTGTCGAAATATGACATTTTTTAGAATTAACGTGTCGGCGTGTCCCGTGTCAGTGTCGGTGCATCATAGATTACTGCCAATCAATTTTACCGTTTGATCGGTTATGTGGATCCAACGATTATATTTATTTTCATCTCTGTATGATTATGATTTTCCATATTTAATGCTTTTTACTTTAAATATGTAGTATTAAATGTGGAAAATCATAATCGTGCAAAGATGAAAATAAATATAACCGTTGGATAAACATAATCGATCTAACAATGAAATTGATTGGTAGTGATATCGGTAGTAACATTAATTGGTTGTTATAATATCCTTTCTCATTTGTAATATCTTAAAAACTATAAAAAAAGTAATTTTTATATTTAAATAATTTATTTAGTGTTTTTTAATTTGGGAGATAATTTAAGAAAATTACATTTTAAGAATATAGAAATATTTAATAAATACTGGTTTGAAAGAAAAATAATTTATATTTTTTTTTACACCCAAAAGGAAAAAAAAGAAAAGATATTCTTAATCTTTTACCAACTGGAGGCAAAGATTTTTTTTCTTGTTCAAGGGGAAAGAAAGAAATCAGTATTATCTAATATCTATCTTCTCCTCAATTGCCATACGCAGTTCCACCCAAAATCAAACCTCTCTTTGAAGTGAACCATGTTCATGTCCATGGCAACCTCCACCTTTCTCTCCCATTCAGCATCTCTTACTCTCAGCTTCTCACACAAGTCACTTCATTCTCCCTTTCTGTTTTCCTCTACAAACCCCTCTCTTCTCACTCTAAACATGCTTCCAAAGAAATTCAGCAAACCCATTGAACTCAGAAGGCTTATAGTAGCCAAATCCAATGGCAATGACTCAGCTGATGCTTCTGACCGTTTGATTTCTGCTCTTTGCTACTTCTACCCTTTCTTTGATGGTATACAGTACGGGAAGTATGTTATCACTCAGTTCTACCCTCTTCAAGCTATTGTTCAACCATTGGTGCCTGCAATACGAGTGTTCAAGAGCTTCCCCTTTAATGGGTTTCTGGTATTTTTGACCCTTTACTTTGTTATTGTCAGAAACCCCAATTTTAGTCGATATGTGAGGTTCAATACAATGCAAGCCATTGTCCTTGATGTGCTGTTGATATTCCCTGATCTCTTGGAAAGAAGCTTTAATCCCAGAGGTGGGTTGGGATTGGATTTGATGATGAGTTTGGACAGCACTGTGTTTTTGTTTCTGTTGGTGTGCTTGATTTATGGTTCTTCTTCCTGCTTGTTGGGTCAAATCCCCAGATTACCGATTGTTGCTGAAGCAGCTGATAGGCAAGTTCTTTGAATTGAATGCCCATTGGTAATTTACTTGTATAGCAACTTCTTGTTCAACTTCAGCCTAGGTAGTGGAAAAGTTTACATTTTCACTTCCTTAATACCAAACCTAGAAAATTCTGCGAAACGGAATTTTTATTTTGTTTCTTAAGTTTCTGTATTCTTATATGACTTTCAAATTCAGGGATTTCTTATCCTGGCTTTAGTTTTGATGTATTTGAGACAATGAGAAACTTCCCTTGCTTCTTTGTTAATTGAATCCAGTGTTATATGTCTCTGGATTTACTGAATGGATATGGTTTTTAAGTTCTCATGTTTTGGCTATTTTACATATCCGTGGAAAGGGAAATTTTAGTGGATTATGATTGGCAATTATGATATTCTTTTCCTGTCTGGATGTTTAATAATTCTACAATCAGTTATCTTCTCTTTTTAGTTCTTACATTGTTAGCTTTTATTTTGAACTCTTCTGGGGGATCAGAGTGATATTTTTCTAGACGGTTTAAGTTATGCATTAGGGAGGAAGGGAAAACAGAGATAGAGGTAATTTTCAAATGTTATAATCCTTTTCTATAAATATGTTTTGTATATCCATATAGCTTTTCTGGGTTGGTACTGGGTACACTGTTTTACTTATGATGGAGGTAACCCAAGGAAAATCAATTGTTGCATACATAAGCAATGTTTTTCCTTCAAACCAAACTGTTTTGTCTTGGTGACAGAGATATCCAACCGGTGGCTAGTTTGTTTATGATGGATCTACGTGGCCTCTCTCAGATATTTGTGGGGGAGATATCTTAGAGAATAGCAGATTATTGTTCACTAATATAATAATGGCATAGCCAATGGGTGAGGTGTGTGCACAGTGACAACTAAGAGAAAGAGAGGGTTTAGAACGTGTGTATTTTATTGGCTTAACCCTTTATTTATAGATGAGTTACCTGACAATAGTAAAATTCTGGGTCTCTTAGGAAAGTTGAGGGTCTGGTTCATGATCCATTGCTGTCGTAGTAGGATTAATATAATACAGGAATCTTTCCTTAATTCCCTCTTAGCCGTTAGTCCTTTTTGCGCCTTCTAGAATGTGTGCCTTTCTTGAGTCTATAACACAAACAAAACAAAACGTATTTTTCTTGTTCTATTATATTGCATACATACACAAGGACATTGAAGATTACATCGATTAGTTCTATTGCTCTTCAGTATGCCTTTTGATTGGTTTGGTTGTCTCTTCAGTGAGCAGTTGTGGATAGTATTAATGTCAATGTTCTCTGCCATTTGCTGGAAGCCTGGAACCAAAATACTTTAGAATAGTTTTATCTTTGGTCTCACTTTCCACTTGAAAGGAATCGTCATTCCAGTTTTTCATCATTATTTATGTATCTGTTGTTTCAAATAGGTTCTAGATGTCCATCTAGTGGTTATATGATAAAAAAACTGCCGCATCAAAGCCATTTCCAAAGTCTCTATGCTTGCACCTCGCTCGTAGTTGATATCTTTTATATTTCCTTTCATTTTTGCCTTTTCTATGTTCAGTAGAAAGTAAAAACCCATTCTCAAATACGTATAACCCAATGGATGTGTTGCCTTTGATGATCAAAATCAAAATACAAAAACGGGGGCAAATTATTTGAGTAGTTGCAAGCGATAGCAGTGAATCAAGTTGATCTCTTTGATTGTTTCATTTGAGAGCAGTAGGCTAGTAGCCATATCCAATCTTAAGGTTAAATTGCTTACTGATCTTTGGTAAGCCCCACCTCTGAGAATATCAAAAGCTCATCACACAAGAGCTACCATAAATATGGAAATGTGTAGATGTAATTATTCACGCAGCCGTGCAGTGAGCACAAGGTGAAGAATTAATTCATTAGCTTCCATGTGCTCTGCTCGCCGCTTAAATTGACATAAGCCATTTTAATGGGCTCATACTCTTTGGATTACCTCACAATTAATTACTTGTAATATTTATTTTTTGTTGGCACATCCTTTCTGGACTTCATTTACTTAGCTAGTGATTTTCCGTATAAATGCTGCATTAAGTGATGTATCGAATATTGTTTATTTGTCATTCGGTGGCATATACCTGAGGACAATCACTACCTTCTTGTTTTTTCCCTCCTTCCTACCAGGGTCCCCTATAATGGCTTAGTTTTCCAGTTTTCCTCTCAGATCGATGCTTTGTCGTTTTGTCAGGATTCAGATGCCAGACGCAAGCACAAAGAAAAATATCACCGGATATACCTTTCACACTCTTTTCGAGACACAAACTTGCATAGAAGATACGTATAATAATACTCGGGTATAAAAAAAAAAAAGAATTAACAGAATTTAACTATAACAAAGGATATAACTGAAACTAGTAGAGAATCTTATCATGGATGGATATATTACAGATTTACAGCAGCATCTACAGACTACAAGTACTGATAACCCGATACCATATTACATATCATGTCCAATTTAAAATGATCATTAATTTTTTTCATGACTAGATAAATAAAAAGCAGCTAGATTCAGAAGAGAAAAATAAAGTAAGAAAAAAGCATCATGGAAGGAACTAGAAGTGGCAGAAGCATTGAAGCAGACCCTTCACCATAAGGCACGTAGGTGTAAGGATTTGGAGGACCATAAAGATTTGGAGGAGCATAAGGATTTGGAGGTCCATAAGGATTAGGAGGTCCATAAATGTAAGGAGCAGGAGGAGTACAGCACTGAACACCTGCAGCAGTAGGAGGGCACTTACTTTTTGGTGACGGTGGGGCGCCATATATAGAGTAGCCAGAAGGCGGAGCAGGAGCTGGAGGTGGCGGTGGTAGAACTCCATAAGAAGGATAACCAGAAAGTGGTGGAGAAACCTGGCAGTTCACACAAGCAGTTGGGGATGGGATAACATCCCCTGATGCATCCCCATAAACTGTTTCCAAATGAAAATTGCACACTGATAACCAAAACGCTACCACTACAACCAGCTGGAAATTTGATGGAAACATTTTTTTTTTTTTATCTACTTTAATGTTTTCCTTCACGCTAAAGAAGGAAGGAAGAAAAGAAAGAAATGAGGATTGCAATGATGTTGTGAGTCTTGTGACAACGCTTTATGGGTAAAGAGTGTCCTAGATTTCCTTTTTTTGATTTGTAATCAGCACCTGTCTAATATCGTCTTGGATCTAGCGCCACTTTTTCTTTTGCATACAGGATTTGGTGCCGCATGGCAGTACATTTGTCATTATAGTATTGAAGCAACACACACAAATCTCCACCACTTTGCACGAGCCTCTAATCTATGCTAACAAAATTTTCAACCTTTCCTTTTCACTTCTACTTTTTGTTTCATCTCTCTCTCTCTCTCTCTCTCACACACACACACTATTTACTTTTAGTTGTTTTGGCTTTAAACTTTCTCTTTTTAATCATAGATTGACTCCTGTAGCATTGTTAATAATGGAGTTCGTCATAACGATGAGTAGAAAAGATGAAAAAGGTTTGTCAAGGAAATGTCTCTTGAGTACAAGAGACATTTATTGTACATGAAAGATTTGTAGGAAAAAACGTATGTTGTTACCAAAAAAAGAAAATACGTCGGCAAGATTTTGCACATCACTTTATCTTTTCTACCATGGTTCTGTGGATAAATTAAAGAAATTGAAAGATGGAAAAAGATTTTATATTTTAAAATTAAGATAAAATTTCAAGAGATATTTTTTTAAATTAATTCAACCTTAATTATTTTTTGAGCCAGGTTGGCTGTCTGATAAGTTTTGACTTATTGGATTAATCTAGAATGTGAGATGAGATAAAGATATTTAAACCTTTCGCAAAAATAAAATATAAGGATTGAATAGAGATTTTTTTTTTCTTCTCACTTATTCAGCTTTTTTATTATTAATTTAGCTGCCACTATTTGGTTACGGAGAAAACTTTGAATTCGTAATTTTTTCCTTACTTTTATTTCATCATCCAAATATAAAAAATTAAATTATTTTTCACCGTTGTATTTTTTTTCGCAAACCAAACGTAGGATTATTTTTATGCAACTCTTGTACGACATGTAATTAATCAAATGTAGAATCTGTGATGCATTGCAAAAGCAGAGAAATTATGGTTTAGTGTCAATGCTAAACATGAGGTGGAGCCCAGTGTGGTCATAATTAAGCACTAAGCAAGAAAGTAAGGTGCAGCGAATATATTTCATTAGAGAGAAACATCATTATCAACTATTGTCCAAGACCTAGATTGACGTGGAAGACTTGTCCAGGTCATGGCTATTTAAATAAAGATAACTCAACTGCTCCTTGAAATATGATGAGATACGTCGTGGTGAGAATCCAGCATAGCACCTTTCTAATTTTGCCAAACATAATTCACTTGCGTACTTGAAGGGCTCGTGCTTCTGGGTGAAAGGTTGAGCAGCATATTCCTCAAATGGCATCCACTTTGTGAGAAAATGAAAAGCACACCAAAATAAATCATAGTTAATTAAGAGAACTGAATATAGATTTCAAAAAGTAGCAAAAGATAGGTAACAATAGCACTAGATTTATAAGGGAAACATGCAACGGGCCAACGACAATGGTTTATATAAATGACAATAGTCTTAGGAAGTTAATCAGCATATTTATACTAGCTTTCTGTTGGGAGCTCTCTTTTGGATGCAGGGTTTCATATAATATCTGATTCATCTTGAGAAAGGAGCTTTAATTCGAAAAAAATGGGAAACCTAGGTGCATGTAGTCAAGAAACCATCATTCTTAATTATCAGTTCCAGGGTCGATTTCAAACACGTGGGGACGAATTTACCATGTAAATCGTGTGGTCATAAAGCGTGTGAGAATAATTAGTAATTCAACCTTCTTTTATATTATGTCACACACACACACACAATTCACATTCAAATTCACACCAGAAGGCCATATTGGAAGTCATTTTTCGTTTGCATTTTTTCAGATATGAATTTTGTAGTACATTTGCCATTAGTCGACGTTGTTGATCATGAGCAGCAACATACGTTAAGGTTGATATGCATTAATTGCTACGTTCATCTTTTAGCTAGTCAATAGAAGTCCTACATTTGGAAGAAGAATGTTCCGTTTATGTTATGCAAGTATATATCACCCTCATGCATGTATGTGATCTGCTTTATGGTGGCAGAATATCATATGTGAGATCTCTACATCAAAACCAATGAAAGATATATAAGTTGACTTCGTCAAATATAATTATACCTTAGCAGCCTCAATTTCCAAATCTTGCTTTTTGATGTCACTAGAAAGAGGACGCAACTTGCAAAGGAAAA